TTTTTCCTTACGAATTATGCTTTATACGATGTAGTCAATGAATATTCATTTCAAGAGAACATCAGTAGTAAGTGTCAGTTCTCAATAAAAAAACTGAACAAGTTTTCCTTGCTCCATTTGTTTCCAAAGTGAACTGTGTTTTTAATTGTGAGTTCCCTTGCTTTTGGGAAATTCAAAGTGGAGTAGGAAACTGCTTTAATATTGTCACCTAGTGTCAGATACTTTAAATGATTCATTATTACTTTAATACCATGGTCCTAACTGAGATGAATTGTGATGACATCTAATGGGCAACATCGGGATGTTGTTGGGTGTCATGGTCTTGGAAATAAAATTAGTGAGGCTGGAAAGTAGTATGTTAGGACTATTAGGAAGCATGGCCCAGCAGGCATTGCAGATTATGACTCAAGATATTGACTTGTGCCCTTTCTGGTCATGAGAAAACTGCTAATATCTGTTTTCCATATGATCTAAGCATGGAGCGTTTTGACTAGCGTGCTAAATATTGTCAAGGATTGATAAGCAAGAATGTTTATAAGGTTCTTGGTTCAAAATATGATTTTATACTTGTTAACCTGAGCGTGTTTGACTCAAAGACGCTGATACATTATTTATCTTTTTTCTTTTATGAGGACCATAGAACGAGTATTACATAAACAACAAGAACCTTGACTGGTTCAATAAGTAGATTCTCTCTCAATCATTGAAATTGATATATTATATTGTCTTGGTGTCTTTCATCTTGTTATAATCTGGATATTCTGTATTTTTAAAGGGAATTGACTTTATGCAGGTTACTTTTATTGAAGCTCTAGATCAGCTTATGCCTGGATTTGATCCTGAGATTGGTAAGCTGGCTCAAAGGGTTCTAATAAATCCTCGGAATATTGATTATCATACTGGAGTATTTGCAACAAAGGTAATCTCTGTTTATATATGTGGGATCCCTGAATGGCTGGTTTGAGAGGGTTCATTCATCTTCGCTTCTGTTGTTTATAGATTACTCCGGCAAAGGATGGGAAACCAGTCACTATTGAGCTTATTGATGCAAAGACCAAGGAACCCAAAGATACATTGGAGGTAACATAAGTTATATTTTCTATGGAAAACTTTGCATGAAATACTGGAGGCTTTCACTGTTTGTAAAGTTATCCTAAAATTGATTTTTGATACAAAGACCCTGAATTTGCTAAAGTTTCAAATTGACTGGCACTGAATTTGAAGCTGAACAATGTTGGGAATTATGTTTCAACCTTTTGACTAGCCATATTTACTCAGTTATGCAGAGTAAATATGTTATTAAGTCTTTGAAACTATTATCTTGAGGTTATACTCTTTCTACTGCACTTCTTGTAACATTCAAACTCATTTTAAACAGGGAAGGTTTGTTAAAAATCCTAGGTTGCTGTTCTGGCCTTTGCTTAACCTCTATCTTTTTTCCCCTTTGTATGATTATATTTAGTTTTTTGCTGTGCTACATGCAGTTTACCTGTTGGTTTTGGTTCTGTTATATAGGTGGATGCAGCATTAATTGCAACTGGAAGGGCTCCGTTCACTAATGGTCTTGGTCTGGAGAATGTAAGTCTCTTTGACTAATACAATAACTAATTCTAGAGTGTTTTTAAGAATAAAATGTATTCTGAGTGTCTGATTTTCTTTCTTTTTTCTTTTTCCCCCCTCAGATCAATGTTGTAACACAGCGAGGTTTTATTCCTGTTGATGAGCGGATGCGTGTAATTGATGCAAATGGCAATTTGGTTAGTTAATTTCTGGATGGCACATTTTCTTGTATGGCTGTTGCCAATTTGTTGCTGACCCTTGATTTTCGAATACCAGGTTCCTCACTTGTTTTGCATTGGAGATGCAAATGGTAAAATGATGCTTGCACATGCGGCCAGTGCACAAGGAATTTCAGGTACTTAGCAAGTAGTTTTGTACACTACTATTTCAAATCTTACATATTCTGCTATAAACATTTCATCTTTTCCATTGATTTCTTGATGCAGTGGTTGAACAAGTGACTGGAAGAGATCATGTACTCAATCATTTAAGCATCCCAGCAGCTTGTTTCACACATCCTGAAATTAGTATGGTTGGATTGACAGAGGTAAATATTTATTCTTCAAGCACATCTTTTTTGGGAATATGTTGCCATGTATTATTTTTTGTGTATAATATAAGTTCAATTTTCTTTTCCCCTGTCTTCTTTAGAAAGAAAATGATGTAATACGAATTTGTATCGTTGTGTCTAGTTTTTTAAATTTCAAGTTAAAATTTCACAGCCTCAAGCAAGGGAAAAGGCTGAAAAGGAGGGATTTGAAGTAAGTGTGGCCAAGACAAGTTTCAAAGCTAACACCAAGGCCCTAGCAGAAAATGAAGGGGAGGGACTTGCTAAGGTAAATATTCTTGACTCTTCTGTTATTCAAGTTTTGATAAAAGCCTGTAATCTGGAAAATTTCTGATTCCTAAACAAATAGCTAGCTGCTACACATTTTGGATCTCACGTGAATGTATATGTTTTGATCCAATAAAATAAAAATATGGAGGATTTCCATTATAATGCATGGAGCAGTATAGTCTATTTGTTAAATCTAACTAACCTTTTTTTGGCACAATCAGAAATTAATTTCAATAACTGTTGTCATTTTGTTGAAGAGGAGGTGCACTTTTTCTTGCATTCAGTTGTAGCTTGCAGTTACACAGTTTCAAATTGATAGGCTTGAAAGGAGTTCTCTTCAGTTGATAAAAATAATGCAGAAGTTTTAAATATTTTCTTAGGTTTATAGACAAAGTAGGAGGAAATAATAATCAAAATGACATGGTAGATCAAGACATTCGAACAACTATGATTTTGAAGAAGCTTCAAGCAATATTAAAGGATTACTATGCGTTTTTGAATATTTCTTTTCTTCTACTCGGTGTATCTTCCTCTTTTCTTGTTGCTTCTTGTTACTGTTATGAAGGTAACTGCAGAATATATTGGGGGGTTCTTTTTGCCTTCTTCTTTATACATTTGTGGCAGTAGGATGTATTCAAATGTAGTGGCAATAGTCTCACTTTATTTATTGCACATCCTTTTCGTTTGAACATTTTTAGGCCTCTAATTTTTCAATTTATTCATTCTTTTGATCTATTAATTCTCACTAGCTTTTTTGCTGTTGATGACCATGTTATTTTCATACAGTTAATATACAGACCTGACAATGGTGAGATTCTTGGAGTTCATATCTTCGGGTTGCACGCTGCAGACCTTATCCATGAAGCATCTAATGCAATGGCATTGGGGACACGTATTCAGGTGAGCGTTCTTTGCTAAAACTACCATATTATTTGCCTGAACCACTACTTTTGATCTGTGACTTTTGGCTTGAGTAACCTAAATAGAACATCAGAAGTTTTTCAGTCTGCAATATTTGTTTACTTCAAGAGCCACAAACCTTGTTATGTTACTTCTTTTTACCTTGACAGTACACTAAGTAGCTTAAAAATATGCTATCTTGTGACCCAATGCTGCTCTAAGAAATTATGGAATTTTCTCTTTGTATCTTTTTCAGTAGCTAATTAATTTTGAAACCGTGCAGGACATAAAATTTGCAGTTCATGCACATCCAACTCTGTCTGAAGTTCTTGATGAACTGTTTAAATCAGCAAAGGTGAGCTTCTGATATCCTGAGTAAAAATAATAATAATTTCTAACTGTAATTACATAATAAATATTACAAAATTAATAATGTTTGGAACTTACATATAAATAAAAACTGGAAATATCATTTAAAATATAAAAAATATTGGTAGAACTTTATATCTATGAAATTGATTTGTTGATTTCAATCCTGTAGGAAAGTGGTGATGATTTCTGTTCAGACGGTGGCTATAAATTAGGGCTAAAAAAAAAAAAAAGAGGGTTTATTTTAAAGGAGGGTATATTGTGAATTATAAAAATAACGCGAGAAGATTTGACAATTGACACAAGAAAGCTTAGAGAAGCCTAAAAAGAGCTCGGGAAAAGCCCAATTTTTTAGCTTCTTCTAAGAACCATAAAATAGCTTTTTTATTATTATATAAATACTTTTGAAATGCAACCACTAACTAAAAAAGAAAGTGTTTATAAAATAAAAATACTCTTTAGAGAAGCCCAACCAAACCAACTCTAAGTTCAATTAAGCGAAATAATGTGTTAGATTTTTCTTTTATGTAAGAGTCATCAGAAGTGATTGAACGTAGTTATTATGCTCGTTTATGTATATTTGTTCTTATTACAAGAAAAAAAGAATTCAATTAAATAAGGTAATTTAATGATCTATTAAAGAAATATCATTTGTTAATTTTATAAATAATATTGTTTTATTATTAATTTTTTAAATAAACAATCACAATATCTTTTCTAAAACACCCAAATCCAATATTTTATTATTTTATCAAAAGCACCCACGTCCTAGAAGGATGTATTTATAAAAGAAAATGCTACTGAATAATATTTTTTAAAATTTCTCTTACAATTTTGATGAACAGTAATTGATCAATTTAATATGTCTTATCTAATAAATTACAGTTAACTAATTATAAACTATTATGTGAAAGAAAGAAAGTTTGTGAAAGTGATTGTCCACCAAGAAAGAAACATAATATTGGACATTTGAACCAATTAAAATACATATTATACCTAATTAATGAGTTATCAAAAAAAAAAAAAAAAAAAATTATGGGAGTTTCAGTAGGCGAACTACGCGCCATGCGTAAAATAGCAAAGTGGGACGCTAACAGGAAACAAGATAGCGAAGACTAAAGAGCAGCAAAAAGTTGGTGGTTCATCAGCCGCACTTAAACTTCGATATCTCCGCTCCTGACTCTCTCTAACGGACTTTTCGAAGTCCCTCTTCACATCTCCCACTCAAACACTCTATATCTCCTCCTCAGATCTCTCATTTCTCTCCTTCAATACGAAACCAAACAAACACAATCTCTCTCTCTTTCCGCTCATTCTTCTCGTAATTTTCAAAATGCACTACTCCTCCGTCTCTCTTTCGCTTTCTCAAGCTACCGCAACCGCCGCGTCAGCTGCAATCACCGGATCACGCAACTACAATGCTCGCGATTCCTTCTCTTTCTCTTCTTCGAAGATGGTGAATCCTCGATTTTGTGGATTAAGGAGGGAGGCCTTTGGATTCTCGTCTTCTCTCACTCGCCTCCAACTCGCACGAGTTCACCTTCCGAGTCGACAACGCTTTAACGCAAGTAACGTCTCTGCTTCTCTCTCGGTAATGGAACTCCGAAATCTTTTGACTATGATTGGTTATCATTGGAGCTGGTGTCGGAGGCCATGGAGCTGGCTGCATGCTGTAGAGAAGGTACTCCCACGTTTTTGTATTTGCGAGCTTAATTAAATCTCAGTTAAGCTTAACTTAAAAAATAAAATATGAAAAGAAAAGAATTACATTTGATTTATTTTTAATTTTACAAAATAATTTGGCGCCTCTTTTGTTTCTGCCATTTTTAATATATAGATCAAGACATTTAATTTTATTATGGCACGTAGTTCAAAATTTTCCCGTAGTAACGGTTACCTCGTTGGTATCGATTTTGCTCGTTAGGGTGAATTTGAGCACGTGTCTAGTCATCTTGCTTTTTGAAATTTGAGCTGCTGAAGAGCTTGGTGATCGTGGATATTATTAAACAGGGACTGAACATGCCATTATTGAGGGAGATGTGGTGGGAGGAACATGTGTTAAAGAGGATGTGTTCCTTCTAAAGCACTTCTGGCAGTAAGCGGTCGGATGCGTGAACTTCAGAGTGAGCATCACATGAAGGCCTTGGTCGCAGTAATAGAAGCTAAATTTAAAGATCACGCTTGTACTTGGCTGCTTCTTTAAGTTATATTGTGTTAGACTATGTGAATTTACAGTTTTTTTCTTGTAACTTATGGTAGGTTGCTGCTGCTGGGTATGATAGACAGGGAGTGGCTGATCACGCAAATAATCTGGCTACAAAAATTCGTAATAATTTAACAAATTCAATGAAATCTCTTGGGGTGGACATATTGACTGGTGTTGGGACAGTTTTGGTAAATCTAGTTCATGTTCTATACTGAGTTAATTTTTAAATTAAGTTATTCTAATGCGTATAATTATAATGAAATTCTCAGGGCCCGCAAAAGTGAAATATGGGAAAGTTGGTTCACCTGAGAACTAGTTACTGCAAAGATATAATCATCGCTACTGGTTCTGTCCCATTGTACCTAAGGGCATTGAAGTTGATGGTAAAAATATATTTTGTTTGTTCATTCTTTCATTGTAATTTTACTTCTTCATCTAAGTTTTGATAAAAAGGTTTTTTTGGACAGAGAAGATAGTCATTCTATAAGATAGAAACCCTAGGACTATTCACGTAAATATGGAAAAATGTTTTAAGCCTGGGCAACTTGTTTAAGAAACTACATATATGTTTGTGGCAGTAACATGCATTGACTGACTATAGGATGTATACGCCAAGCTAGCTACAAGCTTCTTCTTCTCTTGCTTGTAGGAGTTCTCTAATAAGTTAGTAATGACCTGCGGGAAGACTGTGATCACAAGTGACCATGCACTCAAATTGGAGTCTGTTCCTGACTGGATTGCAATTGTAGGAGTGGCTATAGGACTTGAATTAGTGATGTATATAACTGCACTTGGAAGTGAGGTAATACCTTTCTGAAAAAGAATAAAAATGAAGCTGCTTTTTCCTTAGAATTATGCTTTATACGATGTAGTCAATGAATATTCATTTCAAGAGAACATCAGTAGTAAGTGTCAGTTCTCTATAAAAATGAACAGTTTTCTTTGCTCCATTGTTTCCAAAGTGAACTGTGTTTTAATTATGAGTTCCCTTGTTTTGGGAAATTCAAATGGAGTAGGAAACTGCTTAATATTGTCACCTAGTGTCAGATACTTTAAATGATTATATACTTTATAACCATGGTCCTAACTGAGATGAATTGTGATGACACTAATGGGCAACACCTGGATGTTGTTGGGTGTCATGGTTCGGAAATAAAATTAGTGAGGCTGGAAAGTGTATGTTAGGACTATTAGTAAGCATGGCCCAGCAGTCATTGCAGATAGACTCAATATTGACTTGTGCCCTTTCTGGTCATGAGAAAACTGCTAATATCTGTTTTCCATATGATCTAAGCGTGGAGCGTTTTGACTAGCATGCTAAATATTGTCAAGGATTGATAAGCAAGAATGTTTATTAGGTTCTTGGTTCAAAATATGATTTTATACTTGTTAACCTGAGTGTGTTGACTCAAAACGCTGATACATTATTTTTTTTTCTTTTATGAGGACCATAGAGCGAGTATTACATAAACAACAAGAACCTTGACTGGTTCAATAAGTAGATCTTCTCTCCAATCATTGAAATTGATATATTATATTGTCTTGGTGTTCTTCATCTTGTTATAATCTGGATTTTCTGTATTTTTAAAGGGAATTGACTTTATGCAGGTTACTTTTATTGAAGCTCTAGATCAGCTTATGCCTGGATTTGATCCTGAGTTGGTAAGCTGGCTCAAAGGGTTCTAATAAATCCTCGGAATATTGATATCATACTGGAGTATTTGCAACAAAGGTAATCTCTGTTTATATATGTGGGATCCTAATGGCTGGTTTGAGAGGGTTCATTCATCTTGCTTCTGTTGTTTATAGATATACTCCGGCAAAGGATGGGAAACCAGTCATATTGAGCTTATTGATGCAAAGAAGGAACCCAAAGTACATTGGAGGTAACATAAGTTATATTTCTATGGAAAACTTTGCATGAAATACTGGAGGCTTTCACTGTTTGTAAAGTTATCCTAAATTGATTTTTGATAACAAAGAGAGAAAAGGGAAGAACAAATGAAAGATGGAAGAGTTGGAGAGAGACGAAGCAGAAGATTAGGGAAGAAAGAAAATTAAGAAAAGTAATTTACTGTCTGTAATTACCTAATAACCCTTATATATTTGACTAATTACCTAAAAACCATTGACCTATCTGACTTTTGCTTTTCATTTTGCATAATTACCTAACTACCCTTCATTTATTTCTCTTAGCTTGACTTCTATAGACGCCGTTTTTAACGGCAGGGGAATATCTAATACTTTCTCAAAACTGTGGGTGTGGATAAATAGTCTGATCCCTCAGGGGGTGGATAAGAAAAACCATTCAGAATTCAGATAAGGAAATAAGACTGCCACGTCAATCATTTAAATAAATTTGTTTTCGTATATGTTTTTATTTCTTTTAACAACATCATCAACTCATGATTATAGCTTGTGGTATGAATTAATGAATATGCACACATATATCAATTTTTTATTATATGATATACAAATAATCAATGTTTTGAAACCAAAAAAGTTTAAAATCTTACAAAACCATCCTCAAATCCTTTTAGTCCCTATAAGTTTAAAATATAGCAAATAGACCCTTGTGATATGTTTGGGTTTTGACATTCCCGGCCAAATTTCGGCTGATTCTAGCGGCCAAACTTAAATCCGACACCACCACATAAACCATCGTCCTCCACTCTACAAAACCCATCTAACCCCGGAACTTGGTAGTCCTCCATTCACCGGCTGTGACTCGCGAACATAATCGCGATTAGGTTGATTTTTCCGACAAAATTCCGATTGATTCTAGCGTTAAAAATTCAAACACCACCACCTGAACCATCGACTTCAACTCTACAAAAGCCATCTAACCCCTGCACTTGGTAGCCCCTCGTTTGTCGGCCGTGACTTGCATATTAAGTTGATTTTTTCGACTAATTCTGGCGTCCAAAATTCAATCTAACACCACCCCTTGAACCACCGACCTCCCCTCTACAACCTCTCTGACCCCGACACTTATTAGCCTCTCATTCGCCGACAGTAAGATTAGAGATTTGGGTGAACAATAAAGTTGGAAATTCGGACCGGTCTGATCGACTGATTCGGCCTGGTTTTCAAAACATTGCGAATAATATGCTATGAAGATTGTGTTTTCGACATGCCTACAATCAAATAATCTTATATAATAAATTTATTAAATTTTCTTAGTCTAGATAAAGTGATCATGCAAAAACTATATGCACCTATTATATATATATTGATTTGCCGTATGATTAATACAATACCATCGTAATATAATAGATAATTCAAATTAGAAGACGAATATATTTTAAACAAACTTGAACTTGAGAGGGGAGAGTGAGGGTCCGTTTGGTTGGGCCTCTCCAATAAAAATTTATGGTCGAAAGAGTTTATGGAGAAGACGTTATGAAAGTAAAGTTTTTACTAATAAGTTGTTGGTTGTTTGATTGTTAATTATATAAGCTGTTTTCAGTGTTATTATTATAAAAACACTTGTTTTACAATAAATTACAATAAGGGGGCGTTTGAATCATATAATGTTTTATTATAGGGGGATATTTTATTAACGGAATAAAAAATTATCTTGAAAATTACTGGGAATATTTAGAAAATGTGTTTGGTTAGTTCAAATAAATTGGTGAATAATATGTTTGGTTGAAAGGATAAATAACTGAGTATGTTATATAAATTATTAAATTGCCCTCATTTTTAAATATTAATATAATAGTATTTATTATTATTATTTTTTGAATAATTTCTTTTAACTCCCAACTTTTTAGATTTAGCAAAAAATCCCAGCAACAAAAAATGTTTTAAATGTAACAAAAACACCCCTACCTAGCCCCAAGCCACTACCGACAGCCAGCAACCATCGTCGACGGCCGCCAACAGTGCCACAAATCTGATTGTGATGCCGAAAGTGCCATAGATCTGGCCATGGCCGTTTCACGGCCAAAGATGTGGCCATCAAATGGTCAAGTCCTTGGCAGTGAAACGGCCATAGATCTGGCCATTTTCCAACCATGGAAAAGGCCTCACTGGTTCACCACTGGCCATATACAGCCGGTCGTACGCCATTATGCCGACTTTTGGCAGCCTCCGGCGGTGGTCCATAGTGGTTGGCGGTGGTGACTAGTTATGGGTACAATGACATTTTTGTAAATAATAAAAATAACAAGGGCAATGTCGTCCAAAAATAAAAAATGAGGACAAAAGGGTTTGCAGTAGTGAATTGAATGTTTTATAAATCTTAATAAATATAAGGTTAATTTGGACCAAATGCCACTATTTGTCATAAAAGATATCGGAATAATTTTTTATAAATCAACCAAATATTGTCATCTGCTCAATTTAAAAAATATTACCCTAGTTATGTAAATATTAACCCCATCAAAACGGGCCTCGAGGGTATAAGATATATTTAATTTATATCATATACTAACAAAATGTTATTTCATTTTAATAATATATATACAACATGAAATAAAAATAATAATAATTTCTAACTGTAATTTACATAATAAATATTACAAAATTAATAATGTTTGGAACTTACATCATAAAATAAAAACTGGAAATATCATTTAAAATATAAAAAATATTGGTAGAACTTTATATCTATGAAATTGATTTGTTGAGTTTCAATCCTGTAGGAAAGTGGTGATGATTTCTGTTCAGACGGTGGCTATAAATTAGGGCTTAAAAAAAAAAAAAAAAGAGGGTTTTATTTTAAAGGATGGGTATATTGTGAAATTATAAAAATAACGCGAGAATGAATTTGACAATTGACACAAGAAAAGCTTGAGAGAAGCCTAAAAAGAGCTTACGGGAAAAGCCCAATTTTTTAGCTTCTTCTAAGAACCATAAAATAGCTTTTTTCATTATTATATAAATACTTTTGAAATGCAACCACATAACTAAAAAAGAAAGTGTTTATAAAATTAAAAATACTCCTTTAGAGAAGCCCAACCAAACCAACTCTAAGTTTCAATTAAGCGAAATAATGTGTTAGATTTTTCTTTTATGTAAGAGTCATCAGAAGTGATTGAACCGTAGTTATTATGCTCGTTTATCGTATATTTGATTACTTAATTACAAGAAAAAAAAGAATTCAATTAAATAACGGTAATTTAATGATCTATTACAAGAAAATATCATTTGTTAATTATTATAAAAATAATATTGTTTTATTTATTAATTTTTTAAATAAACAAATCCCACAATATCTTTTCTAAAACACCCAAATCCAATATTTTATTATTTTATCAAAAGCACCCACGTCCTATGTAAGGGATGTATTTATAAATGTAAAATGCTACGTGAATAATATTTTTTTATAAATTTTCTCTTACAATTTTGATGTAACAGTTCGTAATTGATCAATTTATAATATGTCTTATCTAATAAATTACAGTTAACTAATTATAAACTATTATGTTGAAAGAAAGAAAGTTTGTGAAAGTGATTGTCCACCTAAGAAAGAAACATAATATTGGACATATTGAACCAATTAAAATACATTATATCCTAACATTAATGAGTTATCAAAAAAAAAAAAAAAAAATTAATTTATGGGAGTTTCAGTAGGCGAACTACGCGCCATGCGTAAAATAGCAAAAAGTGGGGCAGCTAACAGGAAAACAAGATAGCGAAGACTAAAAGAGCAGCAAAAAGTTGGTGGTTCATCAGCCGCACTTAAAACTTCGATATCTCCGCTCCTGACTCTCTCGTAACGGACTTTTCGAAGTCCCTCTTCACCATCTCCCACTCAAAACACTCTATATCTCCTCCTCAGATCTCTCCATTTCTCTCCTTCAATACGAAACCAAACAAAACACAATCTCTCTCTCTTTCCGCTCATTCTTCTCGCAATTTTCAAAATGCACTACTCCTCCGTCTCTCTTTCGCTTTCTCAAGCTACCGCAACCGCCGCGTCAGCTGCAATCACCGGATCACGCAACTACAATGCTCGCGATTCCTTCTCTTTCTCTTCTTCGAAGCATGTGAATCCTCGATTTTGTGGATTAAGGAGGGAGGCCTTTGGATTCTCGTCTTCTCTCACTCGCTCCAACTCGCACCGAGTTCACCTTCCGAGTCGACAACGCTTTAACGCAAGTAACGTCTCTGCTTCTCTCTCTGGTAATGGAACTCCGAAATCTTTTGACTATGATTTGGTTATCATTGGAGCTGGTGTCGGAGGCCATGGAGCTGTGCTGCATGCTGTAGAGAAGGTACTCCCACTCGTTTTTGTATTTGCGAGCTTAATTAAAAGCTCAGTTAAGCTTAACTTAAAAAATAAAATATGAAAAGAAAAGAATTACATTTGATTTATTTTTAATTTTACAAACGTAATTTGGCGCCTCTTTTGTTTCTGCCATTTTTAATATATATGATCAAGACATTTAATTTCCATTATGGCACGTAGTTCAAAATTTTCCCGTAGTAACGGTTACCTCGTTGGTATCGATTTTGCTCGTTAGGGTGAATTTGAGCACGTGTCTAGTCATCTTGCTTTTTGAAATTTGAGCTGCTGAAGAGCTTGGTTGATCGTGGATATTATTAATACAGGGACTGAAAACTGCCATTATTGAGGGAGATGTGGTGGGAGGAACATGTGTTAACAGAGGATGTGTTCCTTCTAAAGCACTTCTGGCAGTAAGCGGTCGGATGCGTGAACTTCAGAGTGAGCATCACATGAAGGCCCTTGGTCTGCAGGTAATAGAAGCTAAAATTTAAAGATCACGCTTGTACTTGGCTGCTTCTTTAAGACTATATTGTGTTTGAAAAGGGTCAAGACTATGTGAATTTACAGTTTTTTCCTTGTAACTTATGGTAGGTTGCTGCTGCTGGGTATGATAGACAGGGAGTGGCTGATCACGCAAATAATCTGGCTACAAAAATTCGTAATAATTTAACAAATTCAATGAAATCTCTTGGGGTGGACATATTGACTGGTGTTGGGACAGTTTTGGTAAATCTAGTTCATGTTCTATACTGAGTTAATTTTTAAAATATAAGTTATTCTAATGCGTATAACTTATTTATGAAATTCTTCAGGGCCCGCAAAAAGTGAAATATGGGAAAGTTGGTTCACCTGAGAACATAGTTACTGCCAAAGATATAATCATCGCTACTGGTTCTGTCCCATTTGTACCTAAGGGCATTGAAGTTGATGGTAAAAATATATTTTGTTTGTTCATTCTTATCATTGTAATTTTACTTCTTCATCTAAGTTTTGATAAAAAGGTTTTTTGGGACAGAGAAGATAGTCATTCTATAAGATATGAAACCCTAGGACTATTCACGGTAAATATGGAAAAATGTTTTAAGCCTGGGCAACTTGTTTAAGAAACTACATATATCGTTTGTGGCAGTAATGCATGCATTGACTTGACTATAGGATGTATACGCCAAGCTAGCTACAAGCTTCTTCTTTCTCTTGCTTGTAGGAGTTCTCTAATAATTTAGTAATGACCTGCAGGGAAGACTGTGATCACAAGTGACCATGCACTCAAATTGGAGTCTGTTCCTGACTGGATTGCAATTGTAGGAAGTGGCTATATTGGACTTGAATTCAGTGATGTATATACTGCACTTGGAAGTGAGGTAATACCTTTTCTGAAAAAGAATAAAAATTGGAAGCTGCTTTTTCCTTATGAATTATGCTTTATACGATGTAGTCAATGAATATTCATTTCAAGAGAACATCAGTAGTAAGTGTCAGTTCTCAATAAAAAAATTGAACAAGTTTTCTTTGCTCCATTTGTTTCCAAAGTGAACTGTGTTTTTAATTATGAGTTCCCTTGCTTTTGGGAAATTCAAAATGGAGTAGGAAACTGCTTTAATATTGTCACCTAGTGTCAGATACTTTAAATGATTAAGTATTACTTTAATACCATGGTCCTAACTGAGATGAATTGTGATGACATCTAATGGGCAACACCTGGATGTTGTTGGGTGTCATGGTCTCGGAAATAAAATTACTGAGGCTGGAAAGTAGTATGTTAGGACTATTAGTAAGCATGGCCCAGCAGTCATTGCAGATTATGACTCAATATATTGACTTGTGCCCTTTCTGGTCATGAGAAAACTGCTAATATCTGTTTTCCATATGATCTAAGCGTGGAGCGTTTTGACTAGCATGCTAAATATTGTCAAGGATTGATAAGCAAGAATGTTTATTAGGTTCTTGGTTCAAAATATGATTTTATACTTGTTAACCTGAGTGTGTTTGACTCAAATACGCTGATACATTATTTATCTTTTTTCTTTTATGAGGACCATAGAGCGAGTATTACATAAACAACAAGAACCTTGACTGGTTCAATAAGTAGATTCTCTCTCAATCATTGAAATTGATATATTATATTGTCTTGGTGTCTTTCATCTTGTTATAATCTGGATATTCTGTATTTTTAAAGGGAATTGACTTTATGCAGGTTACTTTTATTGAAGCTCTAGATCAGCTTATGCCTGGATTTGATCCTGAGATTGGTAAGCTGGCTCAAAGGGTTCTAATAAATCCTCGGAATATTGATTATCATACTGGAGTATTTGCAACAAAGGTAATCTCTGTTTATATATGTGGGATCCCTGAATGGCTGGTTTGAGAGGGTTCATTCATCTTCGCTTCTGTTGTTTATAGATTACTCCGGCAAAGGATGGGAAACCAGTCACTATTGAGCTTATTGATGCAAAGACCAAGGAACCCAAAGATACATTGGAGGTAACATAAGTTATATTTTCTATGGAAAACTTTGCATGAAATACTGGAGGCTTTCACTGTTTGTAAAGTTATCCTAAAATTGATTTTTGATACAAAGACCCTGAATTTGCTAAAGTTTCAAATTGACTGGCACTGAATTTGAAGCTGAACAATGTTGGGAATTATGTTTCAACCTTTTGACTAGCCATATTTACTCAGTTATGCAGAGTAAATATGTTATTGAGTCTTTGAAACTATTATCTTGAGGTTATACTCTTTCTACCGCACTTCTTGTAACATTCAAACTCATTTTAAACAGGGAAGGTTTGTTAAAAATCCTAGGTTGCTGTTCTGGCCTTTGCTTAACCTCTATCTTTTTTCCCCTTTGTATGATTATATTTAGTTTTTTGCTGTGCTACATGCAGTTTACTTGTTGGTTTTGGTTCTGTTATATAGGTGGATGCGGCATTAATTGCAACTGGAAGGGCTCCGTTCACTAATGGTCTTGGTCTGGAGAATGTAAGTCCCTTTGACTAATACAATAACTAATTCTAGAGTGCTTTTTAAGAATAAAATGTATTCCGAGTGTCTGATTTTTTTTTTTTTCCCCCTCAGATCAATGTTGTAACACAGCGAGGTTTTATTCCTGTTGATGAGCGGATGCGTGTAATTGATGCAAATGGCAATTTGGTTAGTTAATTTCTGGATGGCACATTTTCTTGTATGGCTGTTGCCAATTTGTTGCTGACCCCTGATTTTCGAATACCAGGTTCCTCACTTGTTTTGCATTGGAGATGCAAATGGTAAAATGATGCTTGCACATGCGGCCAGTGCACAAGGAATTTCAGGTACTTAGTAAGTAGTTTTGTACACTACTATTTCAAATCTTACATATTCTGCTATAAGCATTTCATCTTTTCCATTGATCTCTTGATGCAGTGGTTGAACAAGTGACTGGAAGAGATCATGTACTCAATCATTTAAGCATCCCAGCAGCTTGTTTCACACATCCTGAAATTAGTATGGTTGGATTGACAGAGGTAAATATTTATTCTTCAAGCACATCTTTTTTGGGAATATGTTGCCATGTATTATTTTTTGTGTATAATATAAGTTCAATTTTCCTTTCCCCTGTCTTCTTAAGAAAGAAAATGATGTAATACGAATTTGTATCGATGTGTCTAGTTTTTTAAATTTCAACTTAAAATTTCACAGCCTCAAGCAAGGGAAAAGGCTGAAAAGGAGGGATTTGAAGTAAGTGTGGCCAAGACAAGTTTCAAAGCTAACACCAAGGCCCTAGCAGAAAATGAAGGGGAGGGACTTGCTAAGGTAAATATTCTTGACTCTTCTGTTATTCAAGTTTGATAAAAGCCTGTAATCTGGAAAATTTCTGATTCCTAAACAAATAGCTAGCTGCTACACATTTTGGATCTCACGTGTAAGTATATGTTTTGATCCAATAAAATAAAAATATGGAGGATTTCCATTATAATGCATGGAGCAGTATAGTCTATTTGTTAAATCTAACTAACCTTTTTTTGGCACAATCAGAAATTAATTTCAATAACTGTTGTCATTTTGTTGAAGAGGAGGTGCACTTTTTCTTGCATTCAGTTGTAGCTTGCAGTTACACAGTTTCAAATTGATAGGCTTGAAAGGAGTTCTCTTCAGTTGATAAAAATAATGCAGAAGTTTTAAATATTTTCTTAGGTTTATAGACAAAGTAGGAGGAAATAATAATCAAAATGACATGGTAGATCAAGACATTCGAACAACTATGATTTTGAAGAAGCTTCAAGCAATATTAAAGGATTACTATGCGTTTTTGAATATTTCTTTTCTTCTACTCGGTGTATCTTCCTCTTTTCTTGTTGCTTCTTGTTACTGTTATGAAGGTAACTGCAGAATATATTGGGGGGTTCTTTTTGCCTTCTTCTTTATACATTTGTGGCAGTAGGATGTATTCAAATGTAGTGGCAATAGTCTCACTTTATTTATTGCACATCCTTTTCGTTTGAACATTTTTAGGCCTCTAATTTTTCAATTTATTCATTCTTTTGATCTATTAATTCTCACTAGCTTTTTTGCTGTTGATGACCATGTTATTTTCATACAGTTAATATACAGACCTGACAATGGTGAGATTCTTGGAGTTCATATCTTCGGGTTGCACGCTGCAGACCTTATCCATGAAGCATCTAATGCAATGGCATTGGGGACACGTATTCAGGTGAGCGTTCTTTGCCAAAACTACCATATTATTTGCCTGAACCACTACTTTTGATCTGTGACTTTTGGCTTGAGTCACTTAAATAGAACATCAGAAGTTTTTCAGTCTGCAATATTTGTTTACTTCAAGAGCCACAAACCTTGTTATGTTACTTCTTTTTACCTTGACAATACACCAAGTAGCTTAAAAATATGCTTATCTTGTAACCCCATGCTGCTCTAAGAAATTATGGAATTTTCTCTTTGTATCTTTTTCGGTAGCTAATTAATTTTGAAACCGTGCAGGACATAAAATTTGCAGTTCATGCACATCCAACTCTGTCTGAAGTTCTTGATGAACTGTTTAAATCAGCAAAGGTGAGCTTCTGATATCCTGAGCTTGATTGTATTAGTTCTTTTCTCATTTCTCATGCAAAATGATAAAATAATAAGAGTATAATCCATGGCTATGCTCCTAAATAAGTTGAACATGGGTTCGGACTGTACAGGATCCGTGTGTTTGTTCTTAGTATTATTTTGTCGACATTTAACTGTTTGATAAAAGAGTAATGCTAGTTTTACAAAGACATATGCAAAGGGGCATACAAAGACAATCCCCACCCTTGATTTTCATTATTTTTCTCTCTCTCTCTCTTTCTCTTTTTCCGTTTTTTCTTTCTTTTTTTCTTCTGGATGATGTCACTTTGTAGCCCTCTTTGTATGGGTCTTTGTAAGGATAGCATTTTTCTTGATAAAATGGTTCCGTTTGGCCATTTCTGATGCATGTTAACTCCCAAATGACTGTAAACAAATTCTAATTTCTTCTGCAGGTCAAAGCTGAAGCTTCTAAACCAGTAAGTGAACCAGTTGCAGTCTAAAGCCTTCTCGACGCTTGGAAGTATTAATTTTTTGAAGAAATTTGCTTGTATTAGGGAGTGTCAGAGAACCGTGCATCTCCAGGCAGAACTAATCAAGAAGAAGCCCAGCCTAGCAGAAGAAATATCTTTAAGGAAATTATGGACTTTGTGGTCATGGTGTGTTTCGTAGCTGGATACGCGTTTGTTCTACTTATTATTCATGTGCTATTATACATCGAGTGGCACAGTTAGTAATTCAAAAGAGGAGAGGCAAATATAAAAAAAAAAAAAAAAATTATTTCAAAATTTCACAAAAACCATGAATATTAGAACTTTCAAATTTATTGACAATAATTTTATTCAATATAATTATAATTGTTCCCTTTTCATGCTTTGAAAGTGCTGAATAATAAGTTTTCAATACTATATTAATATTTAATATAAGAGCTTCGGAACAGGCACAAGAGGGAACTGTTATAGCAAGAGTAAGTACATATACAAGTGTTAGCTAATTCCGTCGCATTTCCGCTGATAAGAGATGCTTTGAAGTAATATTTCGTGAACAGTTTTTTTTTACAAATTTTCTTTCATAAACTGACATGATAAAAGATGATTGGAAAATTTATTTTAAATTTAAAATCACTCAATCATCTTTTATTACATAAGTTTGTGAGAGAGTTTGTATAAAATGGTCGTGAATGTAGTATTATTGTTTTCATAAACTTTGCAGCAAATTTTTTTCCTTATTCCGGAATTCATTAACATTTACCATTTACCATTGTTAGTAAAAGGTAACTATTACTTGAGCTTGCTCATAGAAAACAGGAAGGGTGATACATTAATCATTATTGCAACCGAAATAGGCTCATCATATTTTATGCTATAGTTGAGAATGATTGCACTAATCACAATAGAAAATTTTGTACTCTATGCACGAGAGTGTTCATACAAATGGGTGTGGAAGAGTGTCACGACTTATTTTATGTCATGATAAGAGCAACAAGTGTGAAGAGCGTACGAGTTTGAATGGTTCGCGAAGCATTCACATGAGGGTTGATAACTGAGACGTCAAGTGTATTTCCTCCTAACACATTAGCAATGATTCTTTAGGAGCATGAAGAAGGGATTAGGCCTCCTTGCACAAACTGGTCGAAAGCTGACGCCGCTTCCCTGATGAGCCTCGAGTCAATGACAGGCGTACATGTAGGCTTACCCCTCTCAAGTGTGATGTTAGGGTGCCACACGGACCGTTCCACTACGTCAATACTCTAGCTCAAAAATATGCTAACTTGTTACCAAACGCTGCTCTAAGAAATTATAGAATTTTCTCTTTGTATCTTATTCAGTAGCCAATTAATTTTGAAACCGTGCAGGGCATCAGATTTGCAGTTCATCCACATCCAACTCTGTCCGAAGTTCTTGATGAACTGTTTAAATCGGCAAAGGTGAGCTTCTGTTATTCACGGCAACTTCCTGATCCTGACCTTTGATTGCATTGGTTCTTTTCTCATTTCTCATGCTAAATGATAAAATAATGAGTATAATCCATGGCTATATTCTCAAATAAGTTGAACGCAGGTTCGGACTGTATAGGATCACACTAAAATCAGGCCTTGTGGTTGTTCTTAGTATTACTTTATCGACATTTAACTGTTTGATAAAATGGTTCCGTTTGGCCATTTCTGATGCATGTTAACTCCCAAATGACTGTAAACAAATTCTAATTTCTTCTGCAGGTCAAAGCTGAAGCTTCTAAACCAGTAAGTGAACCAGTTGCAGTCTAAAGCCTTCTCGACGCTTGGAAGTATTAATTTTTTGAAGAAATTTGCTTGTATTAGGGAGTGTCAGAGAACCGTGCATCTCCAGGCAGAACTAATCAAGAAGAAGCCCAGCCTAGCAGAAGAAATATCTTTAAGGAAATTAAGGATTTTGTGGTCATGGTGTGTTTCGTAGTTGGATACGCGTTTGTTCTACTTATTATTCATGTGCTATTATACATCGAGTGGCACAGTTATTAATTCAAAAGAGGAGAGGCAAATATAAAAAAAAAAAAAAAAATTATTTCAAAATTTCACAAAAGCCATGAATATTAGAACTTTCAAATTTATTGACAATAATTTTATTCAATATAATTATAATTGTTCCCTTTTCATGCTTTGAAAGTGCTGAATAATAAGTTTTCAATACTATATTAATATTTAATATAAGAGCTTCGGAACAGGCACAAGAGGGAACTGTTATAGCAAGAGTAAGTACATGTACAAGTGTTGGCTAATTCCGTCGCATTTCCGCCAGTAAGAGATGTTTTGGAGTAATATTATATGAACAGCTTTTTTTTACAAATTTTTTTTCATAAATTGACATGATAGAAGATGATCGGTGAAAGTTTATTTTAAATTAAAATCACTCAATCATCTTTTATTATATAAGTTTATGAGAGAGTTTGTATAAAATGGTTGTGGGTGTAGTATTATTGTTTTCATAAACTTTGCAGATTCATTAACATTTACCATTTATCATTGTTAGTAAAAGGTAACTATTACTTGAGCTTGCTTATAGAAAACAGGAAGGGTGATACATTAATCATTATTGCAACCGAAATAGGCTCATCATATTTTATGCTATAGTTGAGAATGATTGCACTAATCACAACAGAAAATTTTGTACTCTATGCACGGGGGTGTGCATACAAACAGGTGTGGAAGAGTGTCACGACCTTATTTTAGAACGTCGTGATAAGAGCAACAAGTGTGAAAAGTGTACGAGGTTGAGCGGTTTTGTTGCGAAGCATTCACATGAGGGTTGACAACTGAGACGTCAAATGTATTTCCTCTTAACACATTAGCAATGATTCTTTAGGAGCATGAACAAGGGATTAGGCCTCCTTGCACAAACTGGTCGAAAGCTAAAGCCGCTTCCCTGATGAACCTCGAGTCAATGACAGGCGTCGATGTAGGCTTACCCCTCTCAAGTGTGATGTTAGGGTGCCACACGGACCATTCCACTAAGTCAATACTCTAGCTCAAAAATATGCTAACTTGTTACCAAATGCTGCTCTCAGAAATTACAGAATTTTCTCTTTGTATCTTATTCAGTAGCTAATTAATTTTGAAACCGTGCAGGGCATCAGATTTGCAGTTCATCCACATCCAACTCTGTCCGAAGTCCTTGATGAACTGTTTAAATCAGCAAAGGTGAGCTTCTGATATTCACGGCAACTTCCTGACCTTTGATTGCATTGGTTCTTTTCTAGTTTCTCATGCTAAATGATAAAATAATGAGTATAATCCATGGCTATCCTCCCAAATAAGTTAAACGCAGGTTCGGACTGTACAGGATCACACTAAAATCAGGCCTTGTGTTTGTTCTTAGTATTATTTTGTCGACATTTAACTGTTTGATAAAATGGTTCCGTTTGGCCATTTCTGATGCATGTTAACTCCAAAATCCCAAATGACCGTACACAAATTCTATTTTTTGTATTAGGGAGTCTCAGAGAACCGTGCATCTCCAGGCAGAACCAATCAAGAAGAAGCACAGCCTAGCAGAAGAAATATCTTTAAGGAATTTGCGGTCAAAGTGTATTCAGTAGTTGTATACACGTTTCTTCTATTTCTTCTTGATGTGGTAACATACTACCAGTGGCAGAGTTAGACAGTAATTCAAAGGGAGAGAGGCAAATGTCAAAAAAATAATTTCATTTCAGAATTTCACAAAACTATGAATATTACAACTTTCAAATTTATTGACAATAATTTTACTCAATATATAATTACAATTGTTCTCTTTTAAGTTTTCATGCTTTGAAAGCGCTGAATAATAATAAAGTCTTCATACTATTAAACGTATCAGTAACAATTTAATAGTACAATAAATGGGGGCTTTCCCCTGAATTATTATCAAGTATTTTATATTAGATATAAGAGCTTCGTAACAGGCACAAGAGGCAACTGTTTTATACAAGAGTAACTGTATATACAAGTGTTAGCTAATTGTTAATAGACATTCAAGTTTTCCAATTTTTGATTTTTGGGCGTTTTTTATTTTTAATCTGTGATTAGGAATCTGTCCCAGCCCAGCCAATTGAATCAATTCAACCGTGACCCACCACCTTTACCAAGTTGGGTTACAAAATTTTCAATTCATCCAAAACCCTAAAAATTAGGACATCAATCCATGAACAATTGAAAACTAGAATTTAGGACTTTTGAAGATGAATGACTCGTGAGTAGAATGGTGGCAACAACGTCGATTTTCGGTGAACAAATCGACCTGAAATCACAAAAACAATTTCACTAAGAACACCTTGCTGTCGTCGATGATTGGGGAGGCGAACAAGGGAGGGGTGAGATAGGGTTTTGATCAAGAGGTTGAGAGAAGTCTTTTCGTGATGATTGGGAGTATTGTCGTTGCCAGAAACATACCCTATTTGCTAATGCTGACGATGGTGTTTGGGGTGTTTTGTTTTTGCACGATTTCACACCTTTGGACATCGGTTTGACCCGCCAATCAAATCAGTTAAACCGCTTGACCCGTGACATGCTGGCTTGGCTGAGTCACTACATGGGTCGGGTTTCTAATCACTGTTTTTAATACATTGGAGGAAGGTGCTTCGAAATAAGCAGCATAAGATGATCTTCCTTTTCCATTATCCCATTGATAAACCAAATTGATGATGTAAAAAACCATCCATGATACCAGGAGACCCAAGTGTTTGGTTGGCTCAAAAAGGATATCGTGAGCATAGAAGGTAATTCATCGATCAGAACTAGACCTGAATAACGATCGTGTAATAGCCCTGATCCCAATTGAAAATTTACTCCCATACCTTTAGGTTCTAAAATGAACAAACCAGGCTTTAATGAAACTCAAAACTGGACTGTAATTTCACACCACCTAATCAAATAAATTTATTGAAAAGAGAGATGAAAAATACAACAGCATCTTCTCATCTCAAATAACCTTGAATTAGGGAAAAAATTAACAGCTAATTAGCTACCAATATCAAACTACTCCAGACGATGACCTATCAATGTCTGATGAACAAAATTCTATGATAATAAGATTGCAGTATAAACCAATTACCTAATCAAAGCAAAAATCTAGTGACCCAAGTCAGCTAACGAACTCCACTATTCCACCAGCTAAATTTGTAGGTTTAAGCATGAAACTGCTATCAAAATACTTTGATTGTCCACATTCTAGTACCAACCAAAAGGATGAGTCCATTGATTCAATCTCAAAAAAACAGCTAAACTAAAAGAAGCAAGAACAATAAAGAGCTTAAAAAATTGAATCTTTAGCAAAACATCAGTAAGAATCCATAAAATAAAACCGGCTCAATAATAAAATCTGCTAAAGGGTACCATCAAGTCATTACAGTACTAAGAACAATATCCATTGAAGAAACAACTAGATCTTAAAAACAGGATAGTAAAGTAAACCCCATAACAAAAAAGAGCTCTCATCTTTTCAAAGGAAAAGAGTCTACTCTTCGTCAGCACCTGATTCAGCTCCCTTCTTGTTGTGCTTCCTTGCATACCTCTGGTTCCTCAAAAACTTGGGGTCCATCTACATCATAACATAAATAAATAAATAAAAACTTCATTTAAATTGAATTAAAAAAAAAAAAAAAAGATAATCAAAGAAAAGGTACCCCTTTGGTGGATGTGTGACGGTGCCTTTTGGGTTTCTTGATTCCGTTCTTGTGAGCCTTGTATGACTGGTTGTGAGCTGTGTGATTCTTCGACTTCGCCATCTCTATCACAAAAACAAAAATTTAACACAAACTGATAAACTACTATAAAAGAGTTAATATACAAATACAACTATATATGTCTCAATTTTCAAGGGTTTAAGGAAGCATAGAGATGATGATCTTTGAAACGTACCGTTTTGAGAAAGAGAGACTGCGGCTCTGTTAAAAGATTTTCTCTTGTAAGCAAACGAGAAGAAGACACAGAGAGCAAAACCCTAATTCATATAGGTGTTTAATAGCGGTTGGCATAAGTTTGGTCGGGCTAGATTTGGGTCTGGGCCGATCCCGATAATGGGCCGGGCCTGCTCTTGGGTTCGCTAAATTTGCTCTTTTGATATAGAATTAGTTAAGAACCAAATTACCAAACCAAACCAGTTAGGCGTTGATGGTGAGGAACGCGTTTCGCCCATGTGAAACAATAAAAATAAAATAAAATGGAGAGCATAGTAAACAGCAGCTAGGCTAGCTGTAACGCTGAAGTTGCTGCAAAACGTAAAAACCGACACACAGCGCAAGTAACCCAACCCAACCCAACTCCTCCTCCCATTCATTTCTTTCTTTCTTACAGATCTCTATCCTCTGCCATTTCTCTGGATCTCATCATTCCCTTTAACATTCCTCTTCTTCTTTAACCCAACTCTATCAAAATCAAAACTATGTTCCTCTTTGACTGGTTCTACGGCGTTCTCGCTTCTCTCGGTTTATGGCAAAAAGAAGCCAAGATTCTCTTCTTAGGCCTCGACAACGCCGGCAAAACCACCCTTCTTCACATGTTGAAAGACGAGGTTTCGCTAATTCTTTTAAACGTTTTATTCTGTTACGTGTCGTATTTGTCCAGATGTTGAAACTGTTTTTGTCTTTTTAATTGATGTGATTGCAGAGATTGGTACAGCACCAACCGACACAACATCCCACCTCGGAGGAACTGAGCATTGGAAAAATCAAGTTCAAAGCTTTCGATTTGGGTGGCCACCAGATCGCTCGCCGTGTCTGGAAAGATTACTATTCTAAGGTACCTTATCTTCTTAATTTGATCTATTTGTTTCTAGGTTTATTATACACGTTTCAGTTTGTTTGGATTCCTTTTGATTGAGTTATCAAGCGACTGTTTATCTTATTGTGTCTGTCATGTGATTGGATTGAGATGAAATTGCAGCTTCGAATTTTTGTGTTTCCTTTTGAAATGAAAAAAATCACTTGATTTGTTGTTATGCCTTCATAATCCCAGATAAGGTTTGCTGGTGTTTATCTGATTCATGGAAGGCAAATATTGACAATGGAAGTTTCGCTGATAGCGCCTCTTCTTTACCTGGGAGGTGTTTTAATAGTAGCTCTCCATACATTATGTTCTTTGGGAAACATTGATGATTGATTTATGAAAGTGGGTTGAAAGAGAAGTTGGTTTCATTTCTGAAGAATTATGTCTTTCCCAGAAAGGGTTCTTTATAAAATCTTCCTTGTGTTAATGGTAATTTCTTTTGGATCAAGCTAGGTGAGCTCTGCCCTCCATTTCTAGAAAAGAAAAAACAGAACAGACTATCAATTTCCTCATTTGAAATCATTTACAGATTTTGTCGAAAAAGTAAGAAAGTGGTTAATTGATTCTTTGGTCATCGTGTTTGTTGTTGCTTCTGAGTTGATTCCAGGTCTGATTTTTAAATTGCTGACAAGGATAACCATGTGAGGCACATGTTGATCCTGATTTTACTTAAATTTTGCTATTCATTTTCCCTATCACTGGAATACTTGCTCTGCGCGACTCGAGTTCCTTTATTATTGAGTGGCTTCTGGTCCCATTTTATTTGCCTCGAAATTAATGCCAAATGTATAGGTCTCTTAACGTTCCCTAGAACAATATGCATGTCAAAGAACTAATGCCACCATTTTCCCCTCCCCTTGTTGAACAGGTGGATGCAGTGGTTTACTTGGTAGATGCCTATGACAAGGAGAGGTTTACGGAATCAAAGCGCGAGCTGGATGCTCTCCTTTCAGATGAAGCCCTGGCCAATGTTCCTTTTCTCATTTTAGGAAACAAGATTGACATTCCCTATGCAGCTTCAGAAGACGAGCTCCGTTTTCATCTGGGGCTGACCAATTTCACTACTGGAAAGGGGAAGGTGAATCTTACAGAGTCAAATGTTCGACCCCTTGAAGTCTTCATGTGCAGTATCGTGCGCAAGATGGGATATGGCGATGGCTTCAAGTGGCTCTCGCAATATATCAAGTAGAGTTTGATCAGATCATATGGCCATACCGTGTATTCATTCTTCTGGGATTTTTTTTTCTTCATGTCATTTTTTGCTGTCTTTGACAACAATTGAATTGAAAATTTGAAAATTTTGTTCCCTTTTTAGGGCTAATGAAGACTTTATCTACTATTGCATTATTATTCAATGTGAATTTGGTTTTTGCAGAACAAGTTTGTAAGCAACTACTACTACTTGTGCTTACGGTTAATTAGGATTATCGTTCTGGACTTCCCTGTAAAGTTTCTTCCTATTTGTATCTCCTTTTGTGTTAGCTGCCTTTGTGGCTTTTTAAGCTATTCTAATGGTGCTAAATATGAGCTTTTACACTAATATAAGCTTGTTAATGGTTTCATTTTTAATTATTATTATTATTATTATTTTATTTTTTGTGATCAGAGATGTTTGGGTCAGTTTCTGTATACTTCGACTTATCCTTTAAACATTGAAGTTAACGATCGGGTAAACTCTAATATCTCAAAATCTTGAAATTAATGATCGGATAAACCCTTTAGTGTCATCTTTAGCAATCAATCGAGGGGAATTGAATTTAAAAACTATTGAGTAATATATCTAAAGTCTTTATCATCCTACTCGGTTATTGAAGTGTAATTTTTTATTTAAATATTATGTTTATGTTTTAGAAAATACTTATTGGAAATGCTTTTCCCCTCAAATATTGAAGGGTGTTTTCATAATCAAACAGTTTTTTATTTTGTGTCTTTAAATAAAAAATTTAATAGATCTTAAAATATTTATTTATTCGATTTATTATTAAGCGCTCATAAAAACGAAACGATATGCACCGTTGGATATATCCCGTATCTTTTTTGTTCCATGCGTTATTGTGGTACTATAAAATCTCTCCTTGAAGCTGTCACTTTCATGACAACATCATCATCATCAAACTAGGTCCTAAATCGGACGGTAATGACAGCCCAGGTGACGCGTACTAGCTAATGAACATGCTCCACGTGTACGCCGACACAGAAACCTGTCATTCCCGGTCATCCCATTTTCCCTCCAGCAGTACAAATCATCTCACCACCGGCCAAACCGGTAATCTCGGTTCCACCTCATAGTATAAATCTACAACTGAGTTAAATCGAGCTTGGCTCTTTGTTTTCTCAGAGATTCTCTTACCTTTCTGCCCAACCAAACACGACCGATACAATAAATTAAAAGAACCAAAAAAAAAAAAAAAAAAAAAAATGTTTCTTGTTGATTGGTTCTATGGAATCCTTGCTACTCTTGGTTTATATCACAAGGAAGCAAAGATTTTATTTTTGGGTCTTGATAATTCTGGCAAGACGACGCTGCTTCACATGCTCAAGGATGAGGTGCCGTTTAATTGTTTTAGAAAATGCATTAATTATTTCTTTATTATGAGTTTATACTAGTGGGGTTTGAATTTAATAGTTTATTAATAAAATAAATTGGTTGCAGAGGTTGGTGCAGCATCAGCCAACCCAATACCCAACATCAGAAGAATTGAACATAGGGAGGATACATTTCAAAGCCTTTGATTTGGGTGGTCATCAGATCGCTCGCAGAGTCTGGAGAGACTACTACGCCAAGGTTTATTTTATTCATGAAAAGTCTTAATTTTTTATCGTATTATATTGTCAAGTAAATTGGATTTTAGAAAATGGATATACGAGTAGAAGAACAAATGCTTTGCTCTAGTACCACGTTTTTGCTGAGAAATTACAGTGAATTCTGTATTGTAACTTTAAAATTTTTAACTTTGGCATTTAAGGTAGTTATTGCTTTGCCAATTCAAACACCTAAACTATGAGATTGCAATTGAAAAATAACTATGGATTCGTGTTACAAATTTAAGTGGGAATCGCCTAATTATTTTAGTTTTGTTATTACTGTTTCATAGTTCAACTATGGCTGAAATTTGGTTCTATTCAATTCATTTAAATGGATCCTTTTTAGATGAATACATTAAACATTTGTTTCTGGTTTCTTGGCTGTGATGTGCTGCAATTACTTATTCATTTCATTGCTGGCAACATCTTGTGTTACTTTACTGTATTATATAAGAGTAATACTAGCCTTACAAAGAGGCATACAAAGAGACAAATCCAACCTTTAAAATTCATGATTGCCTCTCTCTCTCTTTTTCCCTTCTTTTAAAGGTTGAATTTCTCTTTTTTTTATGCCTCTTTGTAAGGCTAGTATTACTCATTATATAATTCATTTGTGAATATTTGTTGAATGTTAAATTTTCAAACTATGTGCAATATTTTTGTCATGCAGGTTGATGCTGTGGTTTACTTGGTTGATGCTTACGACAAGGAAAGATTTGCGGAGTCAAAGAAGGAGCTTGATGCTCTTCTCTCAGACGAAACACTAACCAATGTCCCTTTTCTTATTCTGGGAAACAAGATCGACATACCATATGCAGCTTCGGAGGAAGAGTTGCGCTACTACATGGGCCTAACGAATTTCACAACAGGCAAGGGGAAGGTTGATCTAGACGGCTTAAATGTCCGCCCTCTCGAGGTTTTCATGTGCAGCATTGTCCGCAAAATGGGTTATGGTGAGGGTTTCCAGTGGCTCTCACAGTACATCAAATAACATACAAAATGATAAATCATCTTATAGATAGTAACCTTCGTAGAGCTGTTGCTATGTCTCCGTTATAGTATTAGCTTGTGTTAGAGCCTTGAGGGAAAGTTAAATATAGTTGGTGAAAGTCTAATACGTCAATATTAGCTTGGAAACTTTCTGTGTGCTGTAAGTATGGCTGTAATATATAAGTTAAAGCTGGGTTTTCTAGTACAATGGTTTTGTTGGTTTTTCATTGAAGGCTGGCTGCGGTCTATGTTTTTACTTTTTAGACTTTTTAATAACTTGGCTGTCCAGGTGGTCCTCTCTGGCAATTGAATCATATTAATAAGGCCAAATTTTCTTTACATTTTTTTGCTTCAATAAACGCGGTCGTGGTCCATGCCATAATCAATCAATTCGTCATAGTAAGCGTGGTTGATGAACAAAAAATTATGATGGAGGATGCACCACCTACTTCGTGCTTTCACCTACTCCCAATAAAATACTATGCCCGTCCTTTTTCATACTCGCTGTAGAAGCCAATCAACCGTACTCGAAGGTATTCGTGGAGGAGGTTCTATTTAATATTCCTTTATAGCAACCATAAGCCAAGGAGGATGAATGAACTTGTGCGCACAGCCAACACAAGAATGCCACGAAAGGACATCTTCAAATTTATGTTTCAAGAAATTCGACTCAAAATTCTAGTGGCAAAATAAAAAAAAAAGTAAACTCATTCGACTGAGTCTTGCGCTGTTTGGCACAACCATATAGATTCTGTTATCGCAAAAACAAGAATGGTGAAGTACAGACCCCGTATTCATTATTTAGACAGAATATTGCATTATACAATGCTATGAGAAATACTACCTAAATTCAGTTTCCATCCATGAACTTAGAGCCTAGATCTTGAAATGGTGTCAATAACAAAGAGTATCCAAACGCAAAAGCCAGGAAAGACTGGATTACACGAGACTGAAATTATGACCCTTTCAAAAATCTTAAAACAGTTGAAAGGGCCAACAAGAGTGCACACTTAACCTACAGGCATTTACAAATGTACAGGTTGAATACACTTAACTTCTTCACCGAGTCATTTATGGTCCAAAAGTGTCCTCGAATATGTCAGATTTCCAAGCTTCCAAACGTCAATGAAACCCGCTTCTCGTCCTCTTCAAGTGTCCATTTCAACCTCTGGGTGAAGTAACCCTTCGTATTCCAGCTGCACAAAATAAAATTTGATCAGTATATCGTACACACTTAGATGTAACTCCATTAATTTTCATTGTAAATCACTCACCCTTGCTTGATCATGTGCCATCTTCATCCTCCTATAATCTTCTTGTGCTTTCTTTGACCGAAACATGGCTTGAACCCGTACAACTGATCTCTCAACACGCTCTTCAGCTTGTTTACGGCTGGCTCTATAGAAGTCCTCCTCTACATCACTATCTTGCTTCTGATCCTCAACTGCTTCGGCACCAGGGTCAACTTGAAAACCACGGAAACCTTTTCTTTTTAATCGCCAGCGCAGAATTGCTTTCTCAAGCACCCCAACTGACCAGAGAATCTTACGATACTGCTTCCTTACTTGGAAGCCTCGGAAGGCAGCCTGTATCAGAAAATAATGCAATGTAGTCAATTATTATTTTCTGGATCTTTCATATTAGTATAACCTAAAAGCATGTCACAGATAGGGATTTGGAAGGGAACAATTAATGTGTAATTTAGTGCCAATAGTTGTTAACTACTCAGATTCTCTACAAAATTCTGATCTGAATGTCAACAGACCAAACATGCAATTGGGGCCCAGGTCAACCATCACAACATTTTCTATTCGTGCAATAAGTTAAAAAAGGGGATAAAGAATTACTTGAATTTTGATAGCTTGACGACGCTTATTAAGAAAATCTTTACGAATTTTCCATGAACGGAACCTATGTTGGATGTGGACAGCAGCTGCCATTTTTTTCCGTGTATCAAAGTTGCGATATGCATGCTGAATCTTCATTGCAGCAATTATACTTTGTGCTTCATCCTCAGGATTGGAAAACTGAATTGCTTTAGTCTGTACTTTTAGGGAGTGCTCCCTGAATGCAGCTTGAATACGTGCTGCTGCTGAAGCAGCATTCCGGTAAGCTGTCAAAGTATCCTTCAGATTAAGCTCATCCTCAGTGAGGTTCTGAGTATTTACAACCTCAGTTGTGCCTGTTGGCAGTGTTCCACTAATATTTCCAGCTATGGTCATATCATTGAACTGCGCTACTAAAGCCTTTTCTGAAACATAAGCTGCTAAGCCCTCATAACCCCGCTTAGATGCGAGATCTGCAACAGTGCATCCACCAGGATTTTCTGAGGTGGGGTCTGTGACTAAGTTTGGCTTTGCCCCAACTGATAAAAGAGTTGCAACCATTTGCTCCCTGCAAATGGAAATTATTGTACATTGATCTCCAATAGAAACAATCAAGAGGATAAGAAAAAACCCTCAAAAAATAGAGTGGAATCATATGCTCCCTATCCATTTATATAATGCACAAAGGATTTCCAAATTGAAGTTATTTTTAACTACATATAGCCTCTTTACATCTATGTATTTTAGAAAAGTAAACAGTGAAACATAAAAATACTAAAAAACAGAGCCAACTTCTCATAGTGAGGTTTAATGAAAGGAAGTTATAGAAGTTACTAATTTGAGCCCATGAGGAATAAGATACAATAAAGAAAATCTCTTCAGCAAATTAAAATGATTTTAGTAAAACGATACCTTCCACAATATGCAGCCCAATGAAGAGCTGTCCACCCATATTTATCTCGAAAATCCAATGATAAGCCTGACCATGAAAATAGATGAATAGCCCATGTGTATCCAAGAATAGCACACAAATGTATTACTCCTTGACCTTGACTATCATATTCAGTGGCTTTACATCCTTCAACTATTTTTTCTACAAGCCATTCTTTTAACTTGTTCTTCAAAGTGAGTTCAAACAAACTGTCTTTCACTTCTGGAACTGAAGTCGTATTTTTTCCAATTAACTTGTTCAAATATGCCCAACTATTGCAAATATGAGAGGTTTTCAGAATAAACTTCTTAGCCTCTGTCAGGGCATTTGGTGACACTTTACCAGATAAAATGTTAGGGCCCTTGGATGTAGAGAAAAGAAGACAAGCAAGCCTTGTCTGAAGTTGAAACTCTTCCCACTTAGCCTTGTCTTCTGACAAAACCACCGGCTCATGCACTAAAGGAGCACGATACTCAAAATTAAGAATTTGGCTGATAGGTTTATGGCCATCAATACTCATATAAAGGTTTACTAATCCAGGAGAATGTGGTGATACCAAACAGCGGTACACCCCAACCTGAACAACATCTGCAGGCAGACATACATCACCACAGACACATAACAAATTGGACTTGGCAAGATGTAAATATTCCTCGTGAAAGAATCCAGTAATTAGAATCTGCAACAACGACTAAATTAGAATCAAAATTTTACAGTAAACATTAGTAAAAGCTTTAGCCCAAAAAAAATCCATCCAGAAAAATCACAATATTATACACACACATCAGATAAACTTTGCAATAGAATGGTCTAAATGAACTTTCATGATCAAAACTGCAAAAATTGAAACAGAGATATTCAGTCCAAATCCTGTCTTTCCTTAGGTAAAGCAACACATGCACTCGTGCAGTGATGAACAAATTGAAACCAGAGATTCGATTAGCCTCATAACACATTGGTCTTCAGAATTCACAGAGATTATGACAACAGTAACTAATCTTGCAGGTAAAACATTCACAAACATTCTTCCACCATGCTTAGGAGAAAGGACTCAGTAATTGCACAAAATTTTAAATGCACCTAGTTTTCTTAACTAAATTTTAAATGAGATTAGATTATTGAAGTTCATAAACTAATTCTCAGAGATCATGGTAGCAAATTGTTGCAGGGCTTTCTACCGTAACAGCTTTCAGGATTTCATTTACATTCTTTTCATTTTTTTTTTTTTTTTCATTTTTATTTCCTTTTCATTAACTCTTAATAATTATTCAGCATTCAACTATACTTACCAATAGGTGAACCTCATGGTACCAACTCAAAATGCATGAATCTTGATTGGCATGTATTGTTCAGTTTGAATAAAGCCTGAACAATGCCACGAAACAAGCTGTAATCTTAAGATTTATCTATACCCAAATATTTTCATCTCATTTATAGATATATTATCCATACCATCAAGGACCAAGCCTCTTGTCCCTTCTATTTATTTATTTTTATTTTGAAAAAGTAAAAGGTGCTAATCAATGTAGGAGCCCTAAATATAGTCTGTTGAGAGAGAACCACCAACCATAAAAAATACAAAAGACACTAACAGAGGAAAGTAGCCAAAAGAAATACCTTGGTCTTTTCAGTTGAAAAGGCCCATGCGGGTGCAACATCTGTTATGTTAAAGATGTGATCATAAACAGTGTATTGCTGATCACCAGATAAAATTGATGATTGAAGAGGGTCATCCACTGAACCCGGAGAGTCAGTAATGATATGGTTCATCCATTTTCCAAAACTGTCCTGACTCTGCAAACCATGACTGGCCAAAATGTCCAGCGTATCACTAGTGCACACCGTAAAATCCTTTCTCTCTATGTCTAAATTCACCTGACTCCCCATAGTTTGACCATAAACTCCTTCCAGAATATTGAAATGAGCATTGTCACTCCTAGTAATTGGCTGAGTTAGATTACCAACAGAAGAAACTTCTGCAAACAGATCATGGGCTGGAACAGAGCCGCCCTGCAAAGATAAATTAGTATATCGTTAATTCTCTGCTAACAAATATACGCAACAAATTAAGTGGTTCAAGCAAATTTAATGACATTAAGCTGTGCAATATTGTGGCTAAGGTTTGCTCATCATGGTGTCTATAAGAAGTAAAATATGAAATAAAAGTGCTACAGTGCATCAAATCAGCTAACCAACTGGATTGTGAGCAACTGAGCAAATGTACCCTCAAACTGAAGTTACTTTATGGATATTTTATCTGCTCAATGTAAAAATTACCACATGAAAAATCAAGGGAACAAAATATTAAGATACTTGAATTTTAGTTNAAATGCATGAATCTTGATTGGCATGTATTGTTCAGTTTGAATAAAGCCTGAACAATGCCACGAAACAAGCTGTAATCTTAAGATTTATCTATACCCAAATATTTTCATCTCATTTATAGATATATTATCCATACCATCAAGGACCAAGCCTCTTGTCCCTTCTATTTATTTATTTTTATTTTGAAAAAGTAAAAGGTGCTAATCAATGTAGGAGCCCTAAATATAGTCTGTTGAGAGAGAACCACCAACCATAAAAAATACAAAAGACACTAACAGAGGAAAGTAGCCAAAAGAAATACCTTGGTCTTTTCAGTTGAAAAGGCCCATGCGGGTGCAACATCTGTTATGTTAAAGATGTGATCATAAACAGTGTATTGCTGATCACCAGATAAAATTGATGATTGAAGAGGGTCATCCACTGAACCCGGAGAGTCAGTAATGATATGGTTCATCCATTTTCCAAAACTGTCCTGACTCTGCAAACCATGACTGGCCAAAATGTCCAGCGTATCACTAGTGCACACCGTAAAATCCTTTCTCTCTATGTCTAAATTCACCTGACTCCCCATAGTTTGACCATAAACTCCTTCCAGAATATTGAAATGAGCATTGTCACTCCTAGTAATTGGCTGAGTTAGATTACCAACAGAAGAAACTTCTGCAAACAGATCATGGGCTGGAACAGAGCCGCCCTGCAAAGATAAATTAGTATATCGTTAATTCTCTGCTAACAAATATACGCAACAAATTAAGTGGTTCAAGCAAATTTAATGACATTAAGCTGTGCAATATTGTGGCTAAGGTTTGCTCATCATGGTGTCTATAAGAAGTAAAATATGAAATAAAAGTGCTACAGTGCATCAAATCAGCTAACCAACTGGATTGTGAGCAACTGAGCAAATGTACCCTCAAACTGAAGTTACTTTATGGATATTTTATCTGCTCAATGTAAAAATTACCACATGAAAAATCAAGGGAACAAAATATTAAGATACTTGAATTTTAGTTACTGGGAAGCATATGAAGCTTCTAAACAGCTACATTGTAGAGTAACAGTTAACCCTCCCAGCATCAAAGTTTGAACTTAATATTGTGAACTACATATGTTAACACAATAAACAAGCTCCAAAGTCAAAAGACCAAAATTTAACAATAATGACAAAATCATGCTCAACTGTAGTAATGTTTGAGGTCAGAAATAGATGAGATTACTAGTGCAGTGAAAGAAAATAACAGAACTAAGATTAGAAACAAGAATTTCACATGGAAAGCAACAACTAGTCCAACGAAAAAATTCAAAAGCATGAACAATCCAGCTTACATTACTCACGCCCCCACTTATTGCAGAGTGATTTTGTTGGCCTAAGTATGAAACCTTGCCTGTCACCCAAAGATAGATAAGATTAAGAGAATTTATAAATACAAAGAACCCAAATATGTTCTTGATCAAACTACTGGCTACCCTGTAACTAGCATATTACCTCCACTGGTTACAGTTGAATTATTGGAATCATTTGCCACCACAAGATCATCCCATTCAAGTGTATTGATTTCAAGAAGTCTCAATTCATGATTTTGGACAGTTAGATTGTCATTTTGCTCTGTTGACTCAATAAAAGGTATAGGGCGAGTTAATTTCTGAACCAAGCTGAACTAAGAATTCCCATTTAAATCATCCAAAAATGCAACTAAGAACTAGAAAGACTTGACAATTCAATTCAAATTAATTCAACAACAATTACCAGCTAGTTCTTTCTCCCCAGCATAATATGCACGACCAGCTCCAGAATCAAATTCTTCAGGTAAACGCCATGGAGCAGACTGGTCTGAAACTGAGCTAGAGTGTGAATTCGGTGGGGTGGCTGGAGAACCCTGCAATTGTATCATAATTAACTAAGTATATAGGTGTTCGGAAGCACTTTCAGGACACTAGCGAATGGAAAAAGAAATGTATAAATCAACTTCCTCAGAGATGATACATTGAAAGTTGATGAGAATCCACTCCCAAAACTCAACAAAACAGTAAAATAATAACAGCCAGCAGCCAAGAAATAGGAAGAAAATAGATATGTGTATTGATATTCAACAAATTGACAACAATGGTAGCAAACAACAAAATATACCCAGCACATCAACCCAAAAGGACAAAATCAAAATATGAAAGGAAAAACAACGCTGGACTTCGAGGGCCAGCTCCTCCCTAATTGCTAACTTCAAGGGTTAGCTCCTCCCAAATTTCCCTGTATTCTTCTCTGCCCTAATCAGCTCTCTGCCTCTCTTTTTATCCTCCAGCTCTCTCTCTCTCCCTAACTGAATTCTTTTGATGTCCTAACCCCCAATCGCCACCTGTCCTAGCCTAAACCCATGGAAGTTTCCAGCCAACATCCCCTCAATCCATTACTTGCTATCTTATTTCACTTTTCCTACACCCTCATTATCCAAGTCCTATCATTACCCTCCCCAAGCACTACCACCTTGTCCTCAAGGTGGGAAGATGGAGATTGTCTACCCGACACCATCCCGCTCCTCCACTCCTTCACCGCCCTCTTCTTCTTTACCCAACTCTTCCTCATCTTCTATCATTCGCCGAAAAGGGGTCGATTCGTTGTTGATCATGGGCGTTGACCCTGAGCAGGAATGATTTTCGGTGAAGCTTCGTCGAATATGAGTCTGATTTGGGGAATAGGTATTAATCTGGCTATTAGATCTGGGTAGGTCAAAATTGAATTGGGTTTTGGCCTGGTCTTCAAGCCTGCAAAGACTAGAATAACTTTTCAGCCCAGTTATATTTGTTTTCCCATGTTTGCTCAGCCCATATTTTAAATCCTCCCAAGCCCAATTTTTTTCCTCTATTCTTTGGGCCCACTTAATTAATTGGACTATTGAGTTGGATTGACCCAATCTTTCTTCAACCCTAATTTCAGGTTTCAGCCCAGTTACAACAGCAGCCCTCAAAATTTCTTCTTTCTCTTCACTTAACAGGGCTGAAACAACCTCAAACTTACTCTGATCTTCCTCCACCAAGCCTAGCTGCCGAATAGATTCATAAGTTCCTCCTGCCTCCGTTTGATTTCCCAGATTTTGGTTGTCAATAGTTCTCGATGACTGTGGAACTTCCGGCGATTTCTCTCGATCTCTTCTCCTTACTTCTTCTTCATCTTTCCTTCTCATCCAAGCTCGTATTTCCATCAAACCATCCAGAACAACACCAATATCTCTCCCAAGTTTTGACACTTCCCTCTCAACATTTGCTATTCTAACTTCCATTCTTGTACCAACCATCCCACAATCGAACTACTCTGATACCAATTGATGAGAATCCACTCCCAAAACTCAACAAAACAGTAAAATAATAATAGCCAACAGCCAAGAAATAGGAAGATAATAGATATGTGTATTGATATTCAACAAATTGATAACAATGGTAGCAAAAAACAAAATATACCCAGCACATCAACCCAAAAGGACAAAATCAAAATATGAAAGGAAAAACAATGCTGGACTTTGAGGGCCAGCTCCTTCCTAATTGCTAACTTCAAGGGTTAGCTCCTACCAAATTTCCCTATATTCTTCTTTGCCCTAATCAGCTCTCTGCCTCTCTTTTTATCCTCCAGCTCTCTCTCTCTCTCTCTCTCTCTCTCTCTCTCTCTCTCTCTCTCTCCCTAACTGAATTCCTTTGCTGTCCTAACCCCCAATCGCCACCTGTCCTAGCCTAAACCCGTGCAAGTTTCCAGCCAACATCCCCTCAATCCACTACTCAACCATTTGGGCTGGGCCATGGGTCTTTCATGGGCACTCTTCTTGGAAAACCGGCTTGCCAAGGGAGGGTGTCCAAGCCTTTATAACCCACATGCCCACCCTTTTCTCTTTCAATGTGGAATCCTAACAATCTCCCACGCTTCGAGACCCAACACCCTCGTTGGTCTTCTTTCCAGAGAGCGCCGGGCCTCATCGGCCTTTACTGCCCTCCCTTTGAGTCTTACTTCGCCTAGAAGCCTGTCAGCAACTCTCCTTCTCAACCCCTCAGGGCGCCCATTGGGTCCTGCTGCGTGGGCTCCACGTCAGCCTCTTTACCCCTTGGGTGACTTCGCGGATCCCCTTTCCTTGGTGTAACAGCCCGGGCCCAAAGTCAGCCTGCCACGCGTGCGCAGGATCATGCTCTAATACCAATTTATAGGAACCCACTCTAATAACTCAACAATTTGGGCTGGGCCATGGGTCTTTCATGGGCTTGGGTAGAACTCTCCTTGGAAAACCGGCTTGCCAAGGGAGGGTACCCAAGCCTTTATAACCCACATGCCCACCCTTTTCCCTTTCAATTTGGGATCCTAACAAAAGTTTATATAAAACAGATAATATTACCAGCTCTAAAACTGATACCATACTCACAACTGGAACTTAAAGTGTTTCTTAAAAAAATAGGAACACTTTGTTCTGATATAACCTGATCCCTTATTGAGGTAAAAACCACATGCCATTGCATACTTATATTATGACTTACTGCATCTAAGGAAAGATGGCTCATAGAGAAATGACTGAAATCATATGCAAGATGTAGACATTATTCCAACAAAGAACCCATTCATAAAAAGCATTAGCACAGCTGATGTGTTATCATACAACCTACCTCCTGAGTTTCCCGATAATGAACAAGGACTATGTTTTCCAGACTCCTGAAACATAAAAGACAATGAAACCAAAGTCAGACTACTCATAAGCAACCTTACATCCTACACAAGAGGAGAGAGAGAAAGAGAGAGAGTGCATCATCTTTTATTAGAAAGTAAATAATGCATGTCAAAAGGTTGGAACAGTTCACTGATAGATCCACAAGATTGCATACTTATCAAGTAGCCAATAACATCTGCGAACGAAGGTTGGGCTATCTTCACCATGTGCATAGTATACATGAATCCTCTCTTCATTACCAACCTGGACCATGACACAGAATGACAATTACATCATACTGGAGCCTGCTAAAGGCATGGAAAATAAGTAAAATATTTCTTTGGAGTTCACTGGTCCAAACATTTTCCCAAAATTTTTACTTAATAAATAAAGGAAAAAAGCATTTCAGAGTCATTAAGAGACATCAAAAATTATACCAATCAGAACTTTCGATAGATTGAAAATCCACTTGCTTTCTTGCCAATTTTTGGTTTTCTTACTCTCACTAAATTCTATCAAATATCAAATTTAAATCTCAAGATACCCAATTAAGAAAGCTAAAGCAGCTTATAGTGAGGAAGGTAGAGATAAAATGACAAATTATAAAATGAGAGAATCATACTTTTAGGTGCTCATGAGCCTCTTTAACAGTCTTCCCATCCTTTTTCTTCTTCCAGTTATGACCATCTTTCCGGAAATTCCTAAGCATCTTCCGGTCAAACAATACAACAGTGCCACCTGTTATATTACAAGAAAATTGATATATTGTTACAGGTAGTTGGTTTTAGCAGTTTATGAACCAAGAAATATTGGGAGAACACCTGCAAATTTCATCAAATCCAAGTGCACTGATTATACAATATCTTAAGAGTTAACAATCAAATAACACAGAGGATTAACTATTTTAAAGTATTATGTACGCTTGAAGTTTTAAGGGATGTAACTTGGTGTTACTCCTATTCCCAACATATAGATGCAAATGGTTTATTGGCTCACTAAGATCAACTAGGCACTATTTACAACATTAAAAATGATAATTCATAGACAACCCCAATTAGTTCAGGTTTGCAGCTCAGCTAGTTGAGTTATGATAACAATAGCATTCTTAGCCAATCTCAACTAATATGGCCCTGAGGTTTGGTTCAATTCAGATGCAAGGACAAAAGCAATTCCCAAAGAACAAGAAAAAATCATGGAACAAACAGGAAGTGAATGTTACAATTTGTCACAGAAGTAGTGAGAACTAACAACGTGACAGGGTGTAATCACAAAGTCTAGTTTGAGTCAGTTTATGAACAGGGAAGCAATATAGACCTAAACGTTTTACATTCACGTTTGCAGTAAAAAAAAATAGTTACTTTTCGGCAAGTTCACTGGCTTGGCATTGATGCTGAAATGCTTGCTATTACATAATATAGCATGAATTTCATTTGGGCGTAGCCATCTCGTTTTTGCTTCCTCCATCATGGTCCCAACATCCAAATCTGCCCAAACAAGAAACCAATAAAACCTTTATATTCTGCCAATAAAACCTTTATATTTTGAAAACATGAATGAAACTTTACCACAATACAGCAAAGAACCTTGAGAATGCCACATATTCTCACAAAAATAGCTGAAATTGGTATTAAGAATTATTTCTCTTGCTCCAAAGAAGTTGTTCAGCATATGAATTACTAATTGTTATTCTTTTTAACCCAAAACTAACTCCAACCTTTTTACTTCCAGATACTTAATTCAAACAGCCAGAAAAACACTTTCAAATGTTCGTTTCCAATACCCAACTATCAACCAATTCAAACAACAGACACCTAAAATCGACAGTCGAGTACATCTATATCCACAATTAAAAACTCAAAACCACAAAAGTTGAAAAGTGTCCGCACCTCTCAAAGTATGGAATCCATGAATCTCCGAGCCGACAAGTCGCTCACCCATCGCGTCAGACTATCAGAATTACGCTAATTTCGCACTCAACACTCAATCAGACAACAATTATTCCATCAACTAAACGCCTCGAAACCTCAATCTTCCAGTCTCCCTCTCTATCTCTGCACATGCACACATACATAGTTAAATACACGTATACATACACAAAAACTTTCAATAAGTCGATCAACAAACTGAAACGCACACACAAGGCAAAGAGCAAAAACAGGTGAAATTTACCTGAGTGATCGCAGAGAGTGTTGTACGACTTCTTGTTTGAAATGGAAGAGAAAAAAGAAAAGGCTGAGGGATATGGAGGTCGTCGATTATAAATAATATAGTCAACAAATATTTAATTAATTGTAATTACCAACGAATAGTAGAAAAGATAAGGGAGAATTACATTTTCCCGCCCAAAGTTTGACATAATACTTGTCACCCACCAAGATTCAAAATGACACTTTCCTACCTTTCGTCAAGTTTTGTTAGTATTTTCTATTAATATTTGATTGAAAAGACGAAATTACCTTTAAATAGTTTCTTTCTTATTAGTTTATTATAAATTAAAATTTAGTTAAATTAAAGTCTTTACTCGATTATTTATTAGTTTAGGTGTAAAAATTTTTTTTTCTTTGTTTATTTAATTAATTAGGAATATTGATTTTTTATGTTAATTAGAAAAAATGAAAAACATTATATTATGAAAAATATTATAAATTTAGTAGATTATTGAATAATAATGATGAAATATAGATGATATTATAAATAAATAAATATTAAGGTAATTTAACTTTAAATTATTCCATAACATTATTCTTAACTTTTTAGGTGAGGCTAACTATTTTTTCCTTTTTGACTTTTTGGCTAATTAAAAAATAATAAAAAATTTATAAAGTTAAATATTTAAGAGTATTTTTATTTTATTAGTAAAATATTATCAGAAAATATAACAAAATCTAATAAAGGGTGAAAAAGTATTATTTTGAAATTTAAAGGGTGAAGAAGTGCTATTTCACCAAACTTGGGTGGGAAAATGTCGTTCTCCCAAAAGATAATTTGATACGTCCAGTCCGGCATTTAAAGTGAGAGTGTACATGCATAACTATTAATGATGCGGGCCATTTCCTGCATTGCCTCTCCGTCAGTCTCTGATATGGCTTGGGCCCACCCTTTGTCCATTTGTCGGGAAAAAAAATTTGATTTACCGTTGATGGATCTTAATATTTGCAGGTACTTGATTGTGCTTTTGACCCCGAGTAGGGATGGGAGTAAAGGGGATTTTCCGGTTCCGGTCCGAAGGTCATTCGGGGAATCCTTAAAAAAAAAAAAAAAAAAAAGACCACTCCCCAAACGAAGAATTCGGGGATTTGGGGTTTTTTTTGTATTTATATAATTTATTTTATACTTTTATTATTTTTTTTTCAAATCATATATACCAACAAAAAAAATATATAATATACATATTAAATATAAAAACCATCACACTAAATATGATTTATTAATTTATTATAATCAATCAAACAACAAATAATATATTATATATATATTATATATTAATCGTAAGATTATAGATAATAACATATTATGTATAAATTATAATATACAACATATATATATTAATTATTATTATTATATAATATATAATTAATTTTCAAATATTAAAATTAATATATATATTATTATATAGGGCGGGGCGGGGCAGGGTAACACCTATCCCGGTCCCGATCTATCCCCGAATTTTAGGGTCAAATTTGAGTCCGATCCCAACCCGAATCCCAAAATATTCAAGAAAAATCTGTCCCATTCAAAGCGGGTTGAGGCAGATCCCTGCAGGACCAGGTTTTGTGCCCATCCCTAACCCCGAGTGCACCAGATCTTTTCTCTCCAGTAATTTTACATTGGATCTTAAGTCTTTACTAATGTGTATGCACGAAGAGTAACACTAACTTTATGGAAAATCATTTTCACAAAGTGAGGTGATTCATATCATTTATTATTATTTTATTTAAATTATTTAATTGATTTTTATATAAATTCATGATCATAATTTAATACATCATATTGTAAGAAACACTTTGTATAACATTTATTTATAAGTGTAGTATTATTCTGACGTTAAATATAAAATATAGGTGCCTGATTGTTTTACTTTTTTTTCTATATCCTACCTAAAATATATATTTGTTTTCCTATTTTCAAAACTTAATCTTAAATTATTTAACTATTTTAAACCCCCTAGATTTATTAATTTAACTAAAAACCCCCCAAATTTTTTTTATAAATTGGCAAAAACACTCCACCCACCCACATTTGCTAGATTTCAGCCACTATCGCCAGAAGGTAGTCGAAATCTATTGTAATGGAACGCTACCGGTTGGTCTGACCAATAGTGCGCTGACTAGCCTTTTTCGGTCAGATCCACTGTAAATCTGACTGGAAAAGGTGGCCAGATCTTTAGCCACATCCGATCGTCAATGACGGCCAAAGATCCGTTGTTGACAACCAGATATGGCCGTAGATCTGACATTTTCTGATCATATCCATGGTGGATATGGCCTTAAAAGGTCATATCGGCACACGACTGGCCATATCCAGCTGGTCGTGTGCCATTACAATAGTTTCTGGCCACTTTTTTATGGTAGTGGCCAGAATCTGGCAAATGTGGGTGGGTGGATGAGGGTGTTTTTGTCAATTTCTGAACTTTTTATTGTAGGGGGTGTTTTTGTTAATTTTCAAATTCTACCTCGTAATAACAACTCAACTTAACTTTTTCAAAAATTTTACTCAAAATAATAAAACAAACACAGCCTAAAATTTTATTCAATAATATTGTATTTCTTACTATTAATATAGTGTAAAATATTATTAATTAGAACCATAACTTTATATAAGTGATATTATTATAAACTTGTTGTTTTTTAAGTAATTCAAATTTTTTATTGAACGATGTGTAATCTTGTTTAGACTTTAGATATGTGTTGTGTGAGGATGTGCGACCAGCTTGAAGCAAGCTATAGCTTGGCGCAACTTGTGAGACAACAATCAAGATGAATCGAGCTGCAGTTAGATTGAAGCGAGCTGTGTTCAGGGTGAAGCGAGTTGGTTGGCAGTTATCTACTAAACCATGGACATACCTTATATCCCAAAGATAAGCACTGTCCCCTAAAATCATGAGAACATCCCCTACAATTTCAACCTGCCAATCATGCCAAGGATCATGAGTTGATTCTCTAAAATCAAGTCATTATCCCGAAATCCTCTCTTGTAACCGTTATCATCTTATAGTATACATACCAAAAAAAAAAAAAAAAAAAAAATCATTGTATGGGGTTAGAGAGTTTAGGAAGCAAAGAGTATTATTGTGACAATTTTCATTGTAATCACAAATATATTAATATCACAACAGTGTATGTAGACTTAATTTAACTTGTCAAACCACTTTAAAAATTGATTATTGTTTTTTCTTTCTTATTCCCTGTTGATTATATTAATCATACACATAACGAACTCAATTTAGTTAAGATCAATTGAGTATCTCGAGTTGTGAATTTTCGTAACAACAACATATAGCATCACTTTTACTTTTAAAGTTATTACAAACTATTTAAAGACTTTTACTTTTAAATATAATTAATTTTCTTTTTATAAAAGAATCATAAATGATAATTATATAGTTTTCTTGGCATCAACATTGTTAGATATGATCGTGAAACCAATCCGACCCATTCAATGTTTTTATGGATTTGGTTTGGGTTTTAAAGGCTTAGTTATGACAAATCTACTCGAGATACTTTCATATATAATATTGTTTAGTTCAAAGTTTTTTAATTGAATAGTGAAACCAAACCAACCTATATAAAATTTTTAAATTTTTTATTTGGTTCTGCTGTGTATTCCAATACCTTAAAGAGTAAATGACATATTCCCACCCGAGGTCTAGCGAAACCCCAAGTTAATACCCTTGGGTTTGTTTATTCCAAATACTCACCCTTAAAGTAACACCATTTTCATTATTTTAATAGTAAAGGGGTAAAATGGTAATTTTATTTTTATCTTCCTTTCCCATTTCTTTCTCATCTTCGTCGCCTCCTCCCATATTCTTCTTCTTCTTCCCTTCCCATTTCCTTATCTCCACCTCCTCCTCCCATCTTCTTCTTTTTCCCTCCACACCTCCCATCCCATCTTTTTCTTTTTCCCTCCATTACCACCAGCTCCCATCTTCTTCTTTTTCCCTCCACACCTCCCATCCCATCTTTTTCCTTTTCCCTCCATTACCACCAGCTTCATCCCCCAACCCTCATCAAAACCCCATCAACCCCTGGCCGCACCAGATTGCCATTCACCAGTCATCCTCGGCCCTTTTTTGGCACTTTTCGGTGACGAAATTACCCCTACCCCATTTTTTGACTTCCCGACGCCTCATTATCCCAACCTACTACCCCTTCGACAACCTTGACTGCCCTTTTCGCCATTACCCTTCACCTTAAGTGTTGCACTCCGCTAGCTTCTTTCCAGCCAACCCCATCACAGAAAATTTTCATCGAGCCCACCATTCGACTCATCAAAGAGCCCTCTACAATAACCCCATGCTTTTCGTCTCTGATTTCTCACCTTTTAATGCCGATTGAAGCCTAATTTCCCCAGGGTTTTTATTTTGTTTTTTATTGAAATGGTGTGATTTTTGGTGGTGGCTGTTGGATTTGGAATGAGGTGGTTTGGCCGATTTTGGTGGTTTTGGGATGGGGTGGTTTGGAATGGGTTGTGGTGGAGGTTTGGAATGAGGTGAAGGGCAGTTTAGTAATAGCATTTGTCAGAACCCAACAGTCAGTAACTCTGTTACTTTAAGGGTGAATATTTGGAATAAATGAAACTAGGGGTATTAACTTAGGATTTCACTAAACCTTGCGTGGGAATATGTCAGTTACTCTTTCTTAAAACCGCAAGTCAAACCACCTAATTCTATTCAATTCAGTTTGTGTTTTCCAATTCAGGTATTTTGCACACCACCAATACAAGCATAGACATTTTTTTTTATTAAAGTCTCCGATCAAATTCAAACCTTTTTTATTGAAAATATTATTTGAGTTAAAGTATTTTGTATAAGAGAATTTTGTTAAGAGTAATACTACACTAACAAACACTTTTCAGTAATTTCCTCTCACAGATGCGACATGTCATCTCACAATTGATCAGCTCACATGGGTCTCGTCAGCCCAAAAATGGGTCCAGCTTGACCAAATACAAGTTAGCCAATTGCAAGCAGCTATGTCGTGTTTGTGAGAGAGTGTTAGTGAGAAGTGTTTGTCAAGTTATCTTTATTCTTTTGTTAATGTTGTGCTTAATTTCTTGGCAGTCAAATTTGTGCTGCGTGTCCTCCAGGTGTATCAAAGCCTGCCAGCCAGGATCCTCCCACGTGTCGTCTCATCAATGCTTATCTTCTCTTACAAGGTGATTATTGTCATTAGCATGGGTTAAGCTACCATTAGCATGGCTCGGTTTGTCATAAGTATGAAAATTACTAACTCGAACCCCTAATTAAGGGGATTATGCATGCAAGCAACCTTGTAATACCCATTCTCAACTATTGTCAGACGGACCAAGTATAAAAGGAGCCCATAACCTCTATTTCACAGGACGAATTCCAGTTTTAGTAAAATTCAAAAGGAATACGCACTCATACATGTAAAATAGCGTTAAGCGTTCTCTATTTGGCTTGCATCTATCCCTCCTATAATTTCTCTATATCTTATAATATCTCTAAATAATAACATAACAATGAATGTAAGTTTGGTTTTGATACTGTCGAACAACGCATATAGGAAAAAGGTAGAGTTAATAATATAAAATTAAGTTTAAAGCCAATTTTAAGCGGAGTAATGCTGCAGACACCGGGAGTAGTATATTGAATTTGTGCACTGAATGACGTAACAAAATATTGGCCGTCGATTAATATTAAGTTATAATTAATAGATGGTCAGGATTTCGCTACGTTATTCGGTGTATAGATTTGATGCATTACTTTCAGTGTCTCTATTATTTTCCTTTTAAGCGTGTTCCATGTTCTAAAGACTTATATAGAGTGAATTTGGATAATATATTATTAAAGTAATAAAATCAAATTTATATATTAAAAAGGTAAGCCAAGTGTAAGATAGCAAAAAGGATGATATGAGATATCCTGTCTCATCTAGTTTAAGTTTAAAGCCAATTTTAAGCGTGTTTCATGTTCTAAAGGATATCTCATATCTATATGGCTTTACAGTTTACAGTTACACGCGTGTTTCATGCTCTAGCAACAATCTTAGTTCTTAAATGAAAATATCAAGGAACACGAAGGACGTGGACCTGAATGCATGTGGTCACCGGTTCAGAAATTAATTTGACTAGTGACTGATTTGATCTTTCTGGCGGATCGACAGAGACTAACCCACTGGAAAAGCATCGCGTGTACAGTTCCACGTTGGCGAATAGCTGACCACACATTCTAGGAAGTTGAAAGCACGACATTGAGATTGGGATTGCTATAACGACACCACATTGAAAATATGTGGTGGATGATCGTTGATGGCCCTCCAATCCACTTAATTTGCCGAGAATATAGCACGAAGGGGTTTAAAATTCAAACCATTACAGAAAATTTGATGTGATTTCCTTAAAATTCAAAATTTCAAGCCGAGAAAATAAGAGCCATTCAATTTTTGCGTCTTGGAAATATGCATACACACTTATCAAGTCAGCACGAAATTAACCCTAAGTAGCAAAATTCAATAAGCCAATCTCACATAGCTACAAACTTTATGCAACGAGAAAGAAGGCAGTGTTAGGAAGAAAGCCTCCTTAGTTAATATGGTCGTAATAAGAGAAAATATACGTATGATTAGACAGAAACCAATACCATCTTTGTTGATTGTGCATAATTAGCATATGAGAAAATGTTACGAGTCTTAATCTTACAATATTTCTACTTGAAAATTTTGAAACGCAATGACACTAGCATGTTGTGCTTGACTTAGACAAATAAATTTATATTTATAGTATGATACAATGATTTTTTTTATCTAATTCATTGTTTGATTAGCAAAATATTATTATATTATTGATTCGATAATATTTTAATTTCTACCCATGAGGGTTTTGTCGGATTATTAAACTTCTAATTTGTTCTCCGAAGTGATAATTTATCCTTACCATGTTAAACTGTGTTTTATATTTTTGTTTTAATTTCGAACCTTTAATTATTTTATAAACCCTAATTCTACATTTATATGTGTATATAAAAAAAAATATAGTTAAGTTTAAAATCAGAGAAAATGGATGTAAAGAAAAAAACCTAATTAAGTTTGAAATTGGGAAGGAAGAGTGCGAACAAAAAACTTAACTAAATTTAAAGCGCTGTTTTTGGGTATTAAATAATTTTAAAAAAATATATATATTTAACAATGGAGATATTAAATTACTAATAAATCAAATAGTGTAGATATGACTTTCGAAACTCTTTATGAGATTGTCCATGTGGTGATTAGGCCCAGCCCAACTACTTATAGGTAACTTGACGGTTCGCTTGGGGCTTTTGGATGTATTACTCAAGAGGTCCTGAGTTTGAATCTCCATGACTACTAATAAGGGGTAATCATTGGAGGCTTACCTAGTTGTTAACTTTAGGACCCGGAGAGATTAGTTGGGGGTGTGTGCAAGTTAGCCCGGACACCCTCGGATAGCCAAAAAAAAAAATAAAAAAGATTAGGCCCAGCCCAAAAATGAAACTTTGATGGAGCCCATTGTGGCCGAGTGCCTTGCTGAAACAGAAGCATGATAACACCACAATCCAGATACCCCACGTCCTATCCCATTCAAGTATTTCTTAGCTTAAAAGCTAAAGAAGAACAACTAGCACGTAAAAATGCCGTTTCTCCTACTTTGAAAACCCTCCTTCTCCTAATCAATCAGTTGCTCACTCACTTTCTATTATTTTCACTCCAACAAAACTTCCTCAATATCTCTCCATCTTTTATAAAACTCATTCATTTCTTCATTTCTGATCACAGACTCCTCTTTCTCTTAGGCAACATGGAGACAAAATGGCTACTTCTTTTGACAATGGCGATTTTATCTTTATTAGTTTTTGTGCATGGAGATGAAGAGATGTCTTCGGTAAAGCCGATAGTGAAAATCGTGAAGGGCAAGAAGCTGTGCGACAAGGGGTGGGAGTGCAAAGGGTTCTCAGAGTATTGTTGCAACCAAACCGTATCTGATTATTTCCAAACCTATCAATTTGAGAACCTTTTCTCAAAGCGTAACACACCTGTGGCTCATGCAGTAGGGTTCTGGGATTACCATTCTTTCATCACTGCGGCTGCTTTGCATCAGCCTAAGGGTTTTGGTACAACAGGAGGGAAGCTTATGGGCCAGAAGGAAGTCGCAGCTTTTCTCGGCCATGTAGGGAGCAAAACCTCATGTGAGTATAAGTATAGATACACATATATGTTTTGGATTTATGTTGATTATTTCATAGATCATATTGGTAATAAGGTTATGATTTTCAGGCGGTTATGGAGTGGCCACGGGCGGTCCATTGGCTTGGGGTCTTTGCTACAACAAGGAAATGAGCCCTAGCCAAACATATTGTGATGAAAGCTTCAAATTCACCTATCCATGCACTCCTGGAGTTTCATATCATGGCCGTGGTGCCTTGCCTCTTTACTGGTATGAATATCTTCTAATTTTCTTTGCGTATATATGTATGTAATTTGAGGGGAAGATTAACGTTGTGTTTTTCCCACGCAGGAACTACAACTATGGAGAAACCGGAGAGGCCTTAAAGGTGGATCTGTTGAACCATCCAGAGTATCTAGAAGACAACGCGACATTGGCCTTCCAAACTGCAATTTGGAGGTGGATGACTCCGGTGAAGAAGCATCAGCCTTCGGCTCACGATGTCTTTGTTGGTAAATGGAAACCCACCAAGAATGATACCGTGGCCAAGCGGGTTCCTGGTTTTGGCACCACCATGAATGTTCTCTATGGAGATCAAGTTTGTGGCAACGGTGACGATCATGAATCCATGAACAACATTATGTCCCATTACTTGTACTACCTTGACCTGATGGGCGTTGGGCGTGAAGAGGCAGGACCCAATGAAGTGCTCGGCTGTGGCCAACAAAAGGTTTTCAACCCATCATCTTCCTCTTCCTCTTCATCATCTTCTTAAGCTTAATTAGTAAGTCCTTGATGGTGATGAATAAGATCGCACGTGAGCTAATCTTCGATAAGGGAGTGGGCAAGTGTTATTTTTGGAGAATGAATATTCAAAACTTTGATATTAATCTTCAATTGTGTGTAGCTCTATATGTTAGCATAGAAAAAGTATAATATTGTATATTGATTTGCTACTTCCTTTTGTTGCGTAAATTTTGAGATATTATTCTACCAAATTGTAATTACAATTGCATGTTATTATTATGCAATATTTTAATAACTGATCCAGGGTGAAATCCAACAGAGTGCTGGAGTTTTGGGTTGATCCATTGAATTGGTTTGACCGACAAGTCAAACCGGTGATGTCAGCATGTCCAGAGGTTTGAAATATAGCAAACACACCCTTAAGAAATTACACATAAGCCCTTACAGGTTTGAAATCCAGCAAACACACCCTTGAGAAATTACCAAAAGCCTCTACAGGTTTGAAATCCAGCAAACACACCCTTAAAAAATTACTATAAGCCCCTACATGTTTAAAATCTAGCAAACACACCCTTGTGATTTGGCCAAATGCAAATCAGCGGTTGATTGGTTGGTCGCGACGATAAACCAAATGCAAATCCCACTCATGGTTTGAGCCATTCCCCAACAAATTTGCCCAAGATATGGTCGAAATCGAACAATTTTCCGTAAAAAAATCACTGTGCGTGATTCCCAACCCATGCCAAATAGACATGTTTCCGACGTCAACAACACCCCCATCACCACGAAAACACTCCCTTCTACCTTCTTACCAAAACCCATCTCACCTGCTATTCATCTTGCCAATCGCCAGCAACAACCCACAGTTATGGCCACATGACTTTTTCCTTTTTCAATCGTTTCACACTGGAAGTCACCTCCGTCAGCACCTTTCGACTCACTGGCACTTCCTCTCCAAAACTCCCAACAGCCTTGCCATCATCTGCTCGCCAATCGTTGCCCTTCTCTCTAGGGTTTGCTTCTTCATAAAATTGGGGTTTTAAACAATGGAAATGGGTGAGCTAGCCCAATGAAGGCATTGGTTCCCAGTCCGACTGGTCAAACGGGTCGGGCTGGAGCAAGTTTTAGAATAGTGTTATTTGGTGAAATATATCATTAAAACATAAGGAAAAGAGAATAATTGTTCATTTAGTATTCATTTCTTGGGTAAAAAAAAAAAAAAAAAAAAAACACTATATGGGAAAGACGTATGCAGAAAATCATCTAGTGGACGATGGATACGGTCATCTTTCTAATTAATTTTGGTTGAAATTATAGAAATGATCTTATCTAACATCAGCACAAGTTCCTGTGTTCTATCTACAGCCTGCGGTCATCAGACGACACCAGTTTGTAAATTAATTTGTTGATAATTCTTTATCTATACAATTACGATCAATTGCAACAGGTTTGGAGGTCTTGGTCAACGCATAAAATGTATATAGCTATCAAGTTATTATTAAATATATAACATATTTTAGCCATTAACATGTTACAACTTACATGTGGAGTTATGGGGTACTAATGCTTGAAATGATCAAAGCTGCGGATCCACTCAGTTGACAATTTATAATATTAATTTGCTGTTGCCTTTTGTTATTGTTGTGTCATGTGTGTATGTGTATGTGTGCATATACCTAAAGAGATTCTTTTGTTTCCAAAAAATTGTAATTAATTACCACTTGTGTATTATTATTATTATTATTATTTATTATTTGGACGACAATACTGAACTGGAAATTGATTAGATCATTCTGGAAAAGCATAACTAGACAAGTCGGATTGGGATAAACTTACGTATATTAATCTCTTCATGGAAAGATGGGAAATCAAATTTGGAAACTAGGTGTCTTGATTAATTGTCAATTACAGAACTGTCCCCTAATTTGATAATGACAACCTTAATTTAATTTGCAGCCATTGGATTAAAATCATATTTCCCCTAAGTATTTGTCATAATTGGTGAAGCCCATGTGAACGAATAGTTAGTTGGGAAGATATAGTTAACCAACAATTTTGGTAAAATGCAATATTTAATATTATTCCACGTGTCCAATCCATTGAGCAGCCACACGCACCACATGCATCAATAAATTTTTAAAATCTGACCCTACAAATACCCGCTTCCAGCCGTTTCGTTTTCGTTCATTTATTTTTTCAGCTAGTTGCTAAAACTAAAACTCATACACAGAGACTCAGAGGTGGTGGTGAAGCTCCAGAGAGATGGCGGTGGGGAACGACATAGATGATCTTCCGAAGAACGCGGCGAATTATACAGCATTGACACCGCTCTGGTTTCTAGAAAGAGCAGCTACGGTTCACCCTTCTAGAGCATCCCTGGTCCACGGATCCGTGCGCTACACTTGGCATCAGACTTACCAGCGTTGCCTTAGATTCGCCTCTGCTCTTTCTAGACTGNACTATAAGCCCCTACAGGTTTAAGATCTAGCAAACACACCCTTGTGATTTGGCCAAATGCAAATCAACGGTTGATTGGTTGGTTGCAACGATAAACCAAATGCAAATCCCACTAATCGTTTGAGCTATTCCCCAACAAATCTGCCCAAGATATGGTCGAAATTGAACAATTTTCCGCAAAAAAATCACTGTGCGTGATTGCCAACCAATGCCAAATAGACATGTTTCCGACGTCAACAACGCCCCCGTCACCACGAAAATACTGCTCTCTACCTCCTTACCAAAACCCATCTCACATGCTATTCATCTTGCCAATCGCCAGCAACAACCCGCAGTTATGGCCACATGACTTTGTCCTTTTTCAATCGTTTCACACTGAAAGTCACCTTCGTCGCTACCTTTTGACTCACCGGCACTTCCTCTCCAAAACTCCCAATAGCCTTGCCATAGTCTGTTCGCCAATCACCGCCCTCCTCTCTAGGGTTTGCTTCTTCATAAAATTGGGGTTTTAAACAATGGAAATGGGGCCCTGGTTCCTCGTTCGACTGGTCAAATGGGCTGGGCCAGATCAGGTTTTAAAACAGTGTTATTTGGTGAAATATGTCGTTAAAACATAAGGAAAAGAGAATAATTGTTCAATTAGTATTCATTTCATGGGTAAAAAAAAAAAAAAAAAAAAAACACTATATGGGAAAGACATATGCAGAAAATCATCTAGTGGACGATGGATACGGTCATTTTTCTAATTAATTTTGGTTGAAATTATAAAAATGATCTTATCTAACGTCAGCACAAGTTCCTGTGTTCTATCTACAGCCTGCGGTCATCAGACGACATCAGTTTGTAAATTAATTTGTTGATAATTCTTTATCTATACAATTACGATCAATTGCAACAGGTTTGGAGGTCTTGGTCAATGCATAAAATATATATAGCTATCAAGTTATTATTAAATATATAAATATTTTAGCCATTAACATGTTACAACTTACATGTGGAGTTATGGGGTACTAATGCTTGAAATGATCAAAGCTGCGGATCCACCCGGTTGACAATTTATAATATTAATTTGCTGTTGCCTTTTGTTATTGTTGTGTCATGTGTGTATGTGTATGTGTGCATATACCTAAAGAGATTCTTTTGTTTCCAAAAAATTGTAATTAATTACCACTTGTGTATTATTATTATTATTATTATTTATTATTTGGACGACAATACTGAACTGGAAATTGATTAGATCATTCTGGAAAAGCATAACTAGACAAGTCGGATTGGGATAAACTTACGTATATTAATCTCTTCATGGAAAGATGGGAAATCAAATTTGGAAACTAGGTGTCTTGATTAATTGTCAATTACAGAACTGTCCCCTAATTTGATAATGACAACCTTAATTTAATTTGCAGCCATTGGATTAAAATCATATTTCCCCTAAGTATTTGTCATAATTGGTGAAGCCCATGTGAACGAATAGTTAGTTGGGAAGATATAGTTAACCAACAATTTTGGTAAAATGCAATATTTAATATTATTCCACGTGTCCAATCCATTGAGCAGCCACACGCACCACATGCATCAATAAATTTTTAAAATCTGACCCTACAAATACCCGCTTCCAGCCGTTTCGTTTTCGTTCATTTATTTTTTCAGCTAGTTGCTAAAACTAAAACTCATACACAGAGACTCAGAGGTGGTGGTGAAGCTCCAGAGAGATGGCGGTGGGGAACGACATAGATGATCTTCCGAAGAACGCGGCGAATTATACAGCATTGACACCGCTCTGGTTTCTAGAAAGAGCAGCTACGGTTCACCCTTCTAGAGCATCCCTGGTCCACGGATCCGTGCGCTACACTTGGCATCAGACTTACCAGCGTTGCCTTAGATTCGCCTCTGCTCTTTCTAGACTGTCTGTTGGACTCGGTAGCACGGTTCGCTCTTTATACTTGGACTTACATTCGTTTACATATTGATCATCGAGATAAAATAAAAAATGAAGAAAAAAAATTGAACTGAAGAATCGACTTCACCTTAATTCAGCAGTTTGTTTGAGCTCAGTTCTTTTTTTTTTTTTTAATTAAAAATTTTGATACGAGTTTTGAAGCTTTCGGAGTTGAAATTAGATAAAATATCTTTTTTTTTTTTCCTCCGAAAATCATGAATAGTGGCGACTTCTGGAAACCGTTTAAAACATTATTTATTTATTTATATTTTAACCAGTGGCGGACCAGCCTCAAATTTTTTTTTTAATATTAATATATAAATTTATATATTTTGGTCCACTCTAAAAAAAACCATATTAATGGGTAAAATTAATAATGTATAATAAATTTTTATTTTGACTCAGAAGAAATTTCTGGATTTTAACATCAACTTATTTAAAAAAAAAAAAAAAAAAAATTCGCGGCTCTGTTGCAAAGAAAAATCTAGTTTGGATGTGATTACTCAAGATAGTGTTTTACTGTCTTCTATGGATTCGTGTTGAATAATTTGACTGGTTGAACAATTGGGTGCTTTTGAATTCATCTGTTTTAATTTTTGAATTGTTAGTTAATATTGCTTGGAGTAAAATAGTTGATGGGTTGAAGGTAGATATCTGAAATCATCGAGTAATTTATGATGGCACTGGTACTCTGGTTCAGGTGCCACCTTGCATTGTGCTCTCTGAACATTGATAGTCAACATAGTGGTTTCTGATAGTCATGTCATCAAATTTGCTATATATTGAGGCAACTCATGCATTATTGGGCTTGTTTGGTCCCTAAACTACATGAGGATTCTGCTATATGAGGTCCTG